GATTTAAAAAGGAAGCTCGCCCCCTTATTTAGTAGGGAAGTAAATAATTTTGTAGACCGAATTCTGAAATTTGTAGTATAATATGTCTAAAGTTATGTAACTGTGAATGTGGCTCCTCAATCCAAACATCTGAATTGAGGAGCCACCTGAAACACGGAAAGTATTTCATGTATATTTTTGAAAATTTTGTATCATTTAGTAGCAATTGTGTATAGTGTCTACTAAAAATTTGAGCCCAGTATTGTTTATATTCAAGAATATACAATACTTTTAATGTGGCTCCTCGATCTATACACAAGAGCATGAATTGCCATGAAAGTTATTGGTCAATTTATATTCCACTCTAAAGACATTTAGTAGTAAGTGTGTTCGAATTTGTAGTATATGGACAAAGTAGTAGACTGAGCGAATTTAATAAATAAATGCATTTCATTTGGCTCCTCAATCGTGACGTCTGCATAATAAATAATTAACTGTACCTACCTGAGATCAAAACGGAATAAAATACCAGAGACACTAACATTTAGTATAAACGGTCTACTAAATACATATGCACAGATCAACATTGTATATGTTCGGTATCTGAAAAACAAATCACTTCTGAATATTCCTTACGAATTCGCTATTTAGGGTGACCATGTTATATGAATTTAACTAGGATGATTCATTTTTGAAATTTAATTTTTCGACAATATTCGGTACAAAGATTCTTCATAGGTTTAGGATATTTAGTATCTAGTCAATTTCGACATAAGTTAAAGAATGAATTAATATTGGTTGGTCGGTGCTTCTATGAATTTTACAGTGAGAATCATAGTCGTCATAACAAAACATCTCATCATTCGCTGGGTAGTGACATTTATAGTGACCCATTCCAGCTTCGCTAATCGCAGGGATAAATTCTATAACGCCTATTAAAGTATATAAGCTACTTGAAATCATTATAGTTTCTGGTACCTCGTTTACTCTAAACCTCGTAGAAACATTTAGTTCAAATGACACTGTTTTTGCTACAGTATATTTACACACTGTTTGGTGGTTACAAGATGTGCAAACGTTATTTTCTTCTACAATACAAATTGCCTCTTCTAAACTTTGGATTCCAAAAACACAAATTATATGCAGATTTAAAGGCAAAAAAGCGATCTGTCTAGATATTGGGGTAAATTCGCATGAATCATTAGTACACTTCTTATTCCAAATTGCACTAAAACAATACTTCAAAGCTATATGTTCAAAAATGGTCACCCTAAATAGCGAATTCGTAAGGAATATTCAGAAGTGATTTGTTTTTCAGATACCGAACATATACAATGTTGATCTGTGCATATGTATTTAGTAGACCGTTTATACTAAATGTTAGTGTCTCTGGTATTTTATTCCGTTTTGATCTCAGGTAGGTACAGTTAATTATTTATTATGCAGACGTCACGATTGAGGAGCCAAATGAAATGCATTTATTTATTAAATTCGCTCAGTCTACTACTTTGTCCATATACTACAAATTCGAACACACTTACTACTAAATGTCTTTAGAGTGGAATATAAATTGACCAATAACTTTCATGGCAATTCATGCTCTTGTGTATAGATCGAGGAGCCACATTAAAAGTATTGTATATTCTTGAATATAAACAATACTGGGCTCAAATTTTTAGTAGACACTATACACAATTGCTACTAAATGATACAAAATTTTCAAAAATATACATGAAATACTTTCCGTGTTTCAGGTGGCTCCTCAATTCAGATGTTTGGATTGAGGAGCCACATTCACAGTTACATAACTTTAGACATATTATACTACAAATTTCAGAATTCGGTCTACAAAATTATTTACTTCCCTACTAAATAAGGGGGCGAGCTTCCTTTTTAAATCGAAAGTGGCTCCTCAATCCATACGGACGTCATTTTTGTTCGTGCGCCGCTCCTGCGCCGCCTTCCTGATTACTGGAGGCTAAGTGCGTGTTGTCATGGAGTGGACGGAGGAGAATTGTTTACGCTTAATTGAAACATATAAAAGATATCCAGTGTTATGGGATCCTAAAGATAAATAATACTATAAAAAAAATCTAAAAAAATAGGCGAGAACTGAGTGCGCGCAGATCATGCGCGGCTCGCGCGCTCTATACGAGCCTTGCATGAGTTGCGCTAAAGAGGCGCACCAAACCATTGCAGTGATTGCACGCGCGCAGCTCGCGGGCAGGTCGCAGTCGGCTCGCGAGCTGCGCATTCGCGGCACATTCGCCAGATGTGGACGCACCCTAATGTCATAGTCCACCTAATCCAAAGACTTGAGAATTGTTGGCTACGGCAAATATTAACAATGGCTACATTTACCTTAGGGTCAAATTAGGCATCAGTAAAATATAAGGTACCATCAAAAAACGAGTTATCATAGATTCACAGAAAACTGCTATGTCGTACCATATCGTCTTTGCTGTTTTTTGCCGTGAGGTTACCGGTGGTCCAATTATCCACTTAGGTACCTATCCGATACTCCACCTCCCACCCGATGTCAAATTCTTTCACCCCCAAAATACCGGCAACGCATTTGTGCCGATGCAAATAGAATTAGTTAATTAGTTAGGTCGTTGATTAGTATCTAGTCATCGTCGGATATTTACTATCGGTAGCTGATGAATACAGTTTGAATGACTTTGTCAGAAGTGTAGGAGAGCCATGGTTCGGCACGAATGGGCCGGCTCGATACCGCAACCTCACAGCAAACCGGCGTGAAGCAATTACGGTATGTGTGACCGTGTAAGTGAGAATATCGGAGGCCCAATTCTTCCTCAGTCCTCAAATCCCCTACCCTAAAATACCTAATAACCCACAAGAGGCCGGTCTACACCTTTGCCACTACCATGAGCGGTGCTGATTGCTTACTATAGTCAGAATTTTAATTCGATTCCTGATTTGACATGATCTATTGTCATTTTGTGAAATAATGATACCACATATAACAGTATAGTGATGAACACAAAAATCGATAAACAATAAGTGAATCAGTTTCAGGAAAGCATTAAAAAAATTACGGCTTCCGAATGGTCTAAAAGCGTATCCCATGTTGTCAAAGAAGAGGAAAAAATGAGTTAGCTAGATATTTTAATTGACAATAAATATCAAATACACAATTCATAATAAATGTTACAGAAAGTAACAGCGATAGCGATAGCGATAACGGCGACAATTTATAAAATTTCTGTTCTATTTGTCATGTTCCTTCATGATAACATTTCTATTAATTTCACACACAATTACAAAAGAAAAAGTTTCAGATCGTTAATTATTTGTCAAAACTAAATTATCGGTTCAGAAATATTTTATTTCCTGATAAACTTAGTTTACAAGAGTAAATTTATCAACGAGAGGAATCGATTCAGAAAGATTCGATTTCCACATCGAATAATTTCGCAACGTCACTATTTATTACGTGTCATAACGTTGCAACACTGAAATTGTCAAATCTGGAATGAAATTAAAATTCCGAGTGTTTATGGTAATCCGTCTGCACTTTTGAAGACTTGTGACATAAAAAAATAAAACAACTATAGTTCGTTCCATAATTAGAGACAATAATTTGACAACAGCAAATGTCAAACTACAAAATAATGTGGCCAGATTTTTCAACATAGTGATGGGCCCGAGTACGATGTTTTAAATAAAATACCGATACCGTTTTTTATAAAATACCCTGAGCAAAATAAAACAACGTTGCGGTGATGTTTTATATAGTTTAGTCGAATTACTAATAATAATTTAAAATAAAAATGCGAAATCCAAGACTGGCTAAAAGAAAAACATTATATTTGAGGCACCTATGCTGAAAGCCGAGCTGTTGGAGATTTCCCGGAAAGAGAAGAGTAATTATGAATGATACGTCGTGGACTGATGGCTGCTAAAAGGGGGGTCACTATTTTACTTTTGCCTCCTTACCATTTTGATTTTAACCCGACTGAGTTAGTGTGGGCACATGAAGGTACCAGGGAAAGTAGCTAAAAATAATAAAGCTTTTAAATGCACGAAGTCCAGAATTTAATTTCGGTCTTTCGGTCCATACCGGTCGCGGGACTTCACTATTTATGAAATGGAAAAAACTTGCAACACTCGAAATGTCAAATCGTTGTCTCTAATTATGGAACGAACTATATACTAATAAAACTTATGTTCCACGTGAATTGAAAAATCAACTTACGCTTTTGTTAATAAACTCGCTCGCAAGTTTCCTCTGCAGTGGTACACTATCTTCAGTGGTAAGGATCTCACGTATGGGATTTTCATTACGATTTTCAGTGTCCTAAAAAACCTTTTGAATTCAAAAACCCAGGAATGAATACTAAGTACTAGTAACACAAAGCGGTATTTTAATTAGTACTTTAATTTGTAATATTCTCACATAACTGTTGAATGGACACTAAATATTATTACAGATAATGAAACTATAAATAAGCACCTAAATTATTCTTATGAATATATATATGTATATTGTAATTCAGTCCAATGATATCATTACCCTATAATACTCGATAAATCAATAAGAAGAATATAATCTATCGTAATAAAAGTGATAGTTTGTAGGTATGGTCACATCTGATTCTGCTATGCTTCGGATGTACTGAAATCTATAAGCCAATTCCATAAAAACCCAAACCGTTAAGTATGGCACATAATCTCTTTTTATTTGTAATTTTATATACACAGTAAAGTACCTATTATACGCAATGTTTACATGATGAAACTTTAGTTAGTACTCTCAACTGGCCATTCCCGAAGCCAGCCACCCGCGCCGCCGACGCTCCCAGTATCATCTCAGTGACAACCATTTTTCTGGTAAACTATTCACCACAAGTCTTGTTGCATTATCTCAACATTTTTAACTTATTCGTTTAATACATTACTACGAAAATGGAGAGATGTTCAGAAATGGCCAGCTGATATAATGTGACTCGTGATCACATCGTAAGCTTTACAGTGCGAGTGCGAGTGCCGAAGCAAGTTTAGATGCCACTGGAGAAATCGCCACGCGTGGTCGACACGTTTTCCTCGGAGGGGGCGTCGTAAGGCACGCCGCAACAGAACAGCTGGCGCACGGCGCGAGTGACGCGGGACGCCCGAGAGTCGCTGCGCGGCAGCCCGCCCGCCTCCTCGTCGTCAGACTACAACCAACCAACCAATATAAACACGTTACCGCGGCCCAATACGACATGCCGCAGCACTGCCTCCTACACAACCGTGGCCAACGTATACATCAAACATTTCCGTATTTAAACTTTTACTACACTTCTTAAACAATAATTTGGCATGAGGTTGGCGGCTGTGTGGCGTGCGGGCTGCCGCGTATCGACACTATAACAATTACAACCGGTCAGGCGATCATTAAAACAATAATAACAACCTAATAATTTCTGTTCATGCAGTGTTCGGTGCATCACATCAACACAATGCAATAATAAACAATATCAGCAAGTAGCATATAGGGAATAGTAATACTCGTACCCAGTCTGCAGATTTTTGTGGATCTGGCGTCCGCAGCTCTGCGATCTCTCCCGTTATGCTGTCCTCTTCTTCTTTTTCTTCAGACTCTTTTTTGTCTGAGAGTTCTGACACTTCGGATGCTTTAGAGCCAAGGCCAGCTGGTATAGGTTCTGTCGGGTGCAGTGTTGGCGCAGAGGGAATTTCAGCTTTCTAAAACAAAAGTAAGACGTTAATAACGGCACAACACTTCACAAATTATGATTCACAGCCAACAATGTCGCACGGTTTCATTAATTGCTATAACTTGCGATGCATTCAAATTATCATGTATGATACGAACCCGTTATCACACGACAGTGGCGTGTTAGAAGAGTGTTTGTGACAACGGGCGCGAACTGATTCATTGACCTCACCTTTACTTCGACCTCTATTGGTGTTAGTGGTATTCCCTCAGGTGTAGACGGTCGCTTTTTACTGATAGACGAAGATACTTTCTTCACGGCGATATTCTTGATCTTATCGACAGACGTCACTAAAATAGAGTTATTCCTTATAATATCAATTTATAAACCATTCGTATCATTCGATCGATCGAAGGAAGCTTACCATGCTCGCTTTCTTTTGTTGTTTCTCGTTGTTCCTTGATTTCAGCACTCTCAGGTGAATCTTTGAGTTCTTGAGCTACAGCTGTCAATATTAAAGTTAAGCTAAAATGTGCATAGACATACATATTATTTATAAACAAATAGTTATTCTTATACTTTATAAAGTAGACGTCGAATCCCGTGTAAAGTGTTGTTATTTTGATTTCACTTTAGCTCATATTACATATGAAGTCTCAGAATAGTTAAAAACGAAAAAAGTTATCAGTAAAATAGGTACTTGCTCTTTCGAAACCAATTTAGACTTTCAAATACGCCAAAATCTTTGATACTTGTCAATTTGGAGTGATTGAGACTGTCAGGTTAGCCTTACATGGGACAGCGGGAGCGCGTGACCGCTTGTGATGGAGCTCCCCTGAAGTATCATCCTGCAGCTCAGTGGGGCGGTAGGGCTTGTGTGACGACACCGTCGATTGTTCTACCAACACTACTGACGACCCACCGGCAGTCGTTGCTCCAGTTTTATTCTCTTGATCAGTCATCTTCCAAGATCACAGCAATTCAAGCATCCATACGTTCAATGTACCCTAAAACCTTACTAATTTGTCACCAGAAAAATGGCTAACAATTTTTAGAAAAGTAAAAATGGGTAAAACGTCACGCGTTGTAAATTTTGACGGCTAACTTTCTTGTTTTTTTTACATTTTCGATTTTCGAAATGTTTTCGTGTGAAAAAGTATCGTAGTGTTTACCAACAACCGATATAATGAGCTCTATTTACAAGGCGGAGTAAAAACTTCTGTGTGGCAGTACCATAAATAAAGCTATAGGTGAAAGAAGAAAAACTTTCCTAGTCAAAGCATCTGTCAGAATAATGTAAAATTTTTTTACTAACATTTAAATAAATTATTGTTTTGGTCACCTATCATTATAGTTCAGGCGGGTTGGTTTTAGAACTATGCATGGGAAGAGGAAAATAAAATGTGATGGAAAATAAACAGTCTCCATCCAAGAAGAAGTTATTGTCCATCCAAGAAGAGAAATTGATACGTGAGGTTGATTACAACAGTCTCGCAGGAGGCTCAGTCCGCCCGCCTAAGAAACAACTTCTTCTAGGTAACGTTCACCTTATTGAGGTTTATTGACTTTAAAGTGAATGTTAAAATATAACTTGGTGTTCCTACACTTAGAGATTCTTCAAAAGAGTCCAACACAGCAAGGGTCACAAAGAGTACTCGTATCCATAAAACCGAGAGCGCCCGCCATCAAAACTATATACATTGCCGAGAAGAGCCGCTTCCTTGCTAAACAGGTAAAAGCAACAAATAATTATATTTTATTCTCAATTATTGGCTATGCTTTACTCTGTATTGACAATAACCGCATTATACAGGGTGAAGATACATCGGGGTCACGTCTAGGTATCGGAGATCATTCTTATTTTACATCCCGTAAGTACATGTCTCAGTGGCACTCATAGTTTGGCGGGCCTATTTCTGACCTCCATCCACGTTTGTTTTTCAGACTTTGCTGAAGATGATCCAAACTTTATAAATTCGATTGTTTGTGGTTCAGAACGGTCTTATACCAAAAGTAAAATAGAAGCAGATAAAGTCTCGTCGGTCACTATTCAGGTAGAAAGCTCGGCATTCGTTTCGAAATGTTCTCAAACTAACAGCATACCCAAGAAGGTTAATGTGTATAATGCAAAACAAAGGTCTGCAGAAAAATGCTACATATACACACAGCCACAGTTTAATATGAACATTCCTAAAACTGATGTCAAAACTAACAAAAAGAAGTTAAATTCAAAAAAGGTTGATATTGCCACATTAATCTCGAACACATCGTCTGAAGATTCTGTATCGCGTTCTACTATCGCACTAAATCACTTGTATGAACGAATAGACCATTTGGAGCGTAAAATTTTGAGACAAGAATTGGTTTTTCGTTCTATCAATCCTAATATGCCTCTGTCTTCATCAGATGAAGAGCCTAAAGGTAATATAATGAAGACTACATCTGTGACCGGGAGACCAGGATGTAGCTATATACAGCAGTATAGCCATGTTCCTGAGACGTCCGCGTTCCAACGTTACGCGCAGCAAGCGGCGCCACTGTCTCCGAGTAAGGCTACCACAATTGAGAAAGAGCATAACTCTGAGCAATACGGGCGTGACTTCACTGCATATGATGGTATTACCGCCCGGGGCCGGCGGCAGTGTGCCTCTGTGCCATGCAAACGAGACGATATCCCAAAGATGGCAGCCGAGAGAGTTCATAAAATTCGACATAAACTCAATCCGGTGCGGGATTATCGGCTGATGGATACAGTTCACTATTTAGCGCAAGGTGAATTTGCTCCCCGTGATGATGGCATTAAACTGACAACGTCCCGAGAGGCTGTTCTTAGCGATATTATTTGGGAAGATGTGTGTCGCACACATTGGCCTAATGCTAGACTGGGGCGGCGAGCGGCTCACTCTGAGAGATGCAGCACACGATGTGAGCTACAGCGACTCATTGACAGCTTGTTGAGAGAGCGCGTTGCACACGTAGAGCGCAGGCGGCGACGTCACTATAGGATAGTCAAGTTAAATCATCGACATGAAAGCTGTCGACCGGTCGGTAAGACTGGAGATATCATTGTGGCCAGTCACAAAAACAGGCAAGGCGATGAGGTAGCAATGAGTGATCACAATGCTGCGAGCGCGATGATCGCCGATAGACGATGGGATGAGCCCGGTTTGCGCAGAATTCCAAGAAGTCATGACCGTTTGAGAATGGAGACGCGACATAATCGTCATAATTTAGACCGCAGGCGCGAATACGAGGATTGTTCTCCGGGTCCAAGTTACGCGGTTGACAGGTCTCCTACGGGGAGAGAACCAACTTGTTGCTATCAGGCATCCAGCCCGATGAAGCCGGATAGACGTTCTGCAACTCACAAGAAGCGACGCACTGGGAGTCGTGAATTAACCAGCGGCAGTAGTTCGACGTCCAGGCCAAGGAACCCGCGGTTGGTCGTCAAAAAAGTGGCATCACATCGGAAGCACAATAGAGATGAACCCAATCTGGAACATTACATCCTACTGCCCACGCTAGTTGTACGCACTCCGTCTAATATGAAGCGTGAGAAGAAATTTAATGAATTATATCATCGCATACTAAACGTGCAAATAAAAAATGGTGAGTTATAGTAACATTTTCATAACGCTTTTCATGACTGTTCTATTACTGTTTTTATTTTTATTTCAGTTCAAAATAATAATGCCCCTAATAACACACAACCAAGTACTTCATCTTCGCAAAGTCCTAACAAGAAGGACGTTGGACTGAATATAAACATAACTTTGTCCAACAGCAAGTCTCACATCAAGGAATAGTCGTAACATCAAGACGTGATTGATAAAACACCCGAAAGATGATTATGAAATAGTTAAATTTTCATATAAATTATTTATATGTAATTTAAATATTTTTTAAATATAGACCTCCATCCACTTTCATGATGTTGTTTTCATTGTAGATCATTTTACACCTCCGATAATACATAACATGAACAATGAACCGCATAAGATGTTACACGAATGTGTGACCTCAGGTCTAAATACATAAAATCTACACCAGTCACGTTTAACGTAAGGTGCTATATGATTTTGATCCACATTACTCCAGATCATATCTTGACGATTGTCCTGATAGTCTCACTTGTGTGTGGTCAGTGAGGCTGTGTGAGTGAGGGGATTACATGAGTCATGTTTTCTAAAATAAGCCATTTAAAAAAAAACATATTAAATTATCTTTTTGATGGAAACGAGCGTACGTGTCACCTGAAGGTAAGCAGTTTATGGGCACCGACCGCGTCCTGCGGGTGCAAGCGCTACAATGTCCCGACCCCGGTCCGGAGCAGGAAAAAGATCGGGGTGGTTTTTAGTCAGTAATGGTTTCGGAGATTTATGGATTGAATAGGGATGGGGTAGGGGAAGTATTGGACCTCTATCACACAGCGAAACGATGCTGTGGTTGTTTCCCCGATTCGACCGGTGTGGTCGAGTCCACACATTCGTGCCGAAGCTCGAAGGCTCTCCCACAGTAAAAAGTTAAAGTTATTGCACTTATATTCTGGGGATGGAATTGAATCCTCCATGGATAGGACCTCCAGCTACCTCACACATAGTACGGTAAAACACAACACTGATGTTGTTTTGAGGTTGTGGTATCACTCCGGTCGAGCTAGTCCATTTGTGTCGAAGTATAGCTCTCCCACACTTAAAGTTACTTCATTTAACCTAGCAACTCGTATTCAATAATGTATATTCTGCAAGGCCGTGCTCGGGAACCGGACCATTCGTTGCACGTGCCGTTGTTTACATAATAGCCACTACTTGGCTGCATTTCAATTTTTTATTATAGTGTTAGGTCACCGTTGACGAACTGGACGCTAACTGCCTACGACCTGAAGATAACAATAAAGCAATTTATTACATAATGTGACTTGAAACTGAATTATTATTCTGCCTATTTGTTTGTGAGGTCTCTGACTTGTTGTAGAGATAAATTTGCGCCTCTGTTTTAATTCGCTTGCTTATCATTATCATTGAAATAAATGCTTAGACTTCACTGTGTTCAAGATGATCAAGCGTCATACAATTCGTTGCAGACAGAATTATTATTTAGAAATTGAACAGACTTCAATATTTTCCTATTTTTACATAGAATTATCTGCCAGTTAGATTGACAGAAACTTAATCAGTCACTATATAAAATAGGTCTTCTTTATGAGCCAGTTGAAGATTGAGTATTAATCGAAATGTTTGCTCAACACAGATGGCGATATAAAAACTTTTTTTTTCATATTATAAGTCCAAGTTTTCTCTTGACAATTTTTTCATTGTCCCTTTGTTAATGGTTAAACAAACTAAGAGAGTTCATAATAACTCGGGAAATGCATGTGATGACAAACAGGCCCTATCCAAATCACTTATCTGAGGCAGTTTATTTTTATATGAAAAATATATGTTGCGATAATTATGTCTAAATATGTGTTTACATAAATTATCTAGGGTAGATTTGCTAAGGCTAGCAATTTTCCTTAAAACCCGACTTACGAAGAAAGATAATTAGTGGAAGAAAGGGTGGCGTGGTGTGATCATTAATATCGATGTCAGCTGCTTTTTTGTCATCACATTATATATTTATTTTTTTCGCTGAATCACATACAGTCACGAACTAAAGTTTTGAACATAAGTTGCAACATTTTTTTCTTAGATAACAAACTGAATGTATCAAGAAACGTCACAGCTTTTCTTTCAAACCCATTTACTGAACTAATAACTATTTAAAAAAAATCGATTTGAAAACTTTCAACGACAACCATACGATAACACAAAATTTTCGAATAACAAAACCTCTTTTCTATCTTTAAACTGACCGCAAGTATTAATGAAAAATTATTTTGACGAAAAAGAAATTTAAATTTAGGTTTTTTTTCGTCTAAACCCTTGCTAAATTGTAATAGAAAAACTATAAACCCAGAAACTTCGTATCCTTTTTTAATTCAATCTTGGGCTGGTCATTGTGTGATTGTGACCACTCCACTTACAAGAGAACAAAAGTAATTAAGCAATTTAAATTTTAATAAGGTAAATAGCACGTATTCTTCGAATACCAATTGGAAGCAACTTATAGGGTCGGGTGTACTCATTGTTGCATCGCTAAACACCACGACTGATGTGAACCGAGGAGCGCGTCCAGTTGATTATACACTTGCTATCACTCCTGTCCTATATTATATCCAAGACTTTATGGCTAAATTGTAATAGTGAACACAATAATTATATATGTGTATAACATGTGAGAACAGTGTGACGTCATCTGTGGAGTAGGTCCAATAGTGCAAAATTAATAGTGTTGAACCGAATGATTGACGTTTAAATATAGACTTTATTTATCTGTGGTGAATGTTTTAGCATTTCAGTTTGAAATTGGAATAAATATTAAAAATAAAATTTTAAAGTTTATTCCTAATTCAAATTGTAGGATATTTTTTTGTAAATTCGAATTTTAATGAAACACAGTTTGTCATTGTTATTTAAAAAGCAAATATGGTTTTGTTAAAGTAATTTACCATATTGAGGTTTCTAGAATGATGTTAGTCGGACATCGGTAAATATTTTATGGGAAACGATTTCGATCGTTCACCACGGTATGGTATCGATTGATGGTTACATCTATAAGAATAGACTGACATTTTGAGTTGAAAAAGATATTTATTTTATATACATTTATCTGTAAATACTTATTTATCTACATTGATTTTTTAAAGCAAATTTAAGAATAGATATAGGAAATGTCACCTAAAGTATATTTAAGTTAAAGTTCAAAATAAAACACTTTGATGTAAATGCTATACATATTATATATTATTAAGCCTCCGTAGGTACAGCGATTATTAAAAGAAAATACTTTTCTATAATCTACATACATCAGAAATCTTTGGATTATTACCTAAATAAAAGTTTTGTAAAACTAAGTTGCCAACATTTAATTATCCTGATTAAGTTCATTCAAACATCGTTCTTGAAACATTCATAAATATACCTAGTTAGACATAAAAACTGTATCATATTATTAATTGATTCGTTGTAAGTGATTTATAAGTGGTGTATTCAAAGAAGATGTGACGTGTCTGCTCATATTGGTTTACCATGGAGGGCGTGAAGAAATGGTTGACAGAAAGGAATCCAAGGAAGAACGGGATGTACGTGCATTATAGTCCACCAAAATGTGAGTATTTTTACCTTAGAACTTATAATTCCAAGCTGGAATATAAAATCTAGATACAATGAATTTCCTAGTTGGAAGGCTTAGTATTTTTCTTAAATTACTTCTCTTTGACACACACTAAGATTTTTTCCTGTGTTGAGGGTGCGTTTACATACCTGCAACTACACATACACATCAGACCCAAACCCAGAACGACAATCTTTTGATTCGCATTTCGATTGAACCCGCGACGCATTGCGATGCATGGCGGCTAGATGCCCCGCTACTGCTTCAACTACGCAATCAAATAAAAGAGACGATATCCGGCCACCGTAATCGCAGGTCTGCGGACAGCGAGTAAGGGTAACTCGACCAGAACCACACCCGAGCGTACGGCGCGTAGCGTGCAACGCGCGACTCAAAGAGCCAAAATACCACCACAGACGGGACCCTATAGGCCTGATGTTTAGCCGAGGTTGCGTGGCAAGCACAATAAGTCACCAAGGCCTAAAGTAGGAGAAGGAACGGGGGGTTTTCAGTCAGTAAGAGTCGGACACTCCCTCCCGCTCCAACTTGGGTGGGAGAAGTAATTCGATGATTTCCCCTAACAAAAAAAGTAGGAACTTAACTAACACAATATTCACATTTTAATTTAAACTTGAATAAAAAGAGAAATAGCTTGTTTAAGCAGGCCTAACGAAAACACTGGGTAAACAACTCGTTTGAAACATGTCTGGAAAATGTACGGGAGGTTGCGTGCTAGCCAGGAAACTAGCCGCTTACCGGCGCTCCATCAAACGAATGTAAACGAACCAAATTGCCATATAAAGCTGAAAGCTTTTCCTATGTAATTTGTCTGTCTAACATCATTTTCGAATAAATAAAAAATAAAAATCAATTTTTGCACCTAGCAATCATGCTTACCAACGAACTAACACGGAAGATATTTGAAATTTTGAAAATAGAACTCTTTAAAAATAAATAGATATGCGTTCCTTTTACCTGAATAAAAACAACTTTGGTTTTGTTTTTTTTTAGCTACGTACGTTTATAGCGGGGAAGTAAAATATAGTTTTATATTTTTTTTATAAATGCAAGTTTAAACACGTGCATATTATGATCATCAATGCAAAATTAAGTATCTAAATAAATATTTCTTGTAATGATATAAAGTCTAAACTTCGTAGGTAATGCAAGAAGTAATGTAGTACAGACGAATAAAATAATTATAAATAATAATTACGGTCCACATTATAATTTATTTCAACAAGTGCTGGTTACGACGCGACGTGGGCGCGATTCGACCTTAGCGTGATGTCGTGAGTCCAGTATTTTTTGCAATAAATATCACAAGCATTGCAATCACATTTATATGTAAGTACAGTAAAACACTGGGTACCCTACATTTTTTACCACTGGTCACACTAGAAAATATTTATTGTTTAAATTATGAGTAGGGCAATCAGTAATGAATACCACAAATGTTACTGTACTTATTTAAGGTAAATCATTTTAAATGTATAGATAATTAAGTTTCTCATCAATGGGTGGACGAACATTGAGACTACAAATAAGCCTTCAAATAAAATAATGTTAACTAAGCTTATAATATTTTCCGTTTCATAGCTGACTTTATTTCCATTCTTTATTCTCTTTAGAATCACTTATAATAAATTAATACACCACCATTCAAAAAAGGAATTTAAATGAATTCAGTGATTGTCAAGATTATTACGCATTTATTTTATAAAATACATATTTACGGACAAAATATCTTTTATATATACGATGCTACTTTTAATCGGGAATTACTGTGATTGAAATGAGCTGGTAATGTGTTATTAATTAGCTTGTGTGAAACACGGTATAAGGGTGGCGATTTCGTTTAAAATCTAGGATTTATAGTTAAATCCAAAAATATTACTTTATTACAAACAAGCTACTCTCACGCGGTTTCAACCACTGCTCGGCTCTGTCGTAGCGTGATGTTTTATAGCCTATAGCACTCAGGAATATTGTAGCTATCTACCAGTGAAAGAATTTTGGCAATCCGACCAGCGGTTCTAGAGATTACCTCCTACATACAAACTTACAAAAGAGGTTATTATTTATAATCATTTAAAAAAAGAACGCCGTATAATCTCTAGTCTATAGGATGCATGCTTTGATTAAGAATCAATGTGATTGCTTTAAAGTGAGCGTGCAATGTACTACAAATTAGTGTCTATGTCTATAAACACGTTAAAAGGGTGTCGGGTTGGTGAATATTGATGGGGTTCGATCACCCGCGGCTGTTCACCCATAACGATCCAAGTAAATGGTGTCAACATACGTCACACTTTCTAATGTGTTATCATTCCGACCACTTAGATACGCATAATATTTTAATGGTTAATACTAACATAAACCCGTCTAATAAGCAGGTCATATTTTTAGAAAATAGAATTATTTTTGTATTCCGGTATGGATTTAGTAACAATAGTAGTAGTAGTTTTTATATCTAGAAACTTTTTGTGCTTCATTAATAGAATATAATAGAACAGATATTTTTTGTGAAGTATCCAAGGCTTTTTTTTATTTTCAATGAAGTTTATAGCTGTATTTCAACATAGTCTCAAATAGTTATAATAATGTAGTTATCGTGTAGCACGTTCCAAAACTTTTCACATACACAAAATTTCGTGATCGCCACTAAACACCTAATACACTTAGTTTATACACCTGCAAAGCACTTTCCAATCGGGAGTTTAATTAAAAACACTTAATCTTAATTAACCCAGTTTCATGCAAACACTGAATAATGTTAGCATGAACTTGTCGCATGTCATTATATTCTAAACTATTTCATGTGCTTAAAACACAACAAAATACACGAATAAAGCCGAACACTAAACTTACTTGCAGAAAAAAAAATATAGACAACGTTCTCAACTATCCCACCTTTTTGGTTATTATACTCTGTGGTTATCAATTAATGTTATGACAGGCTTTTATTTTTTGCATGTTGGTAGCAATGTTTTCGCCTTAAGATCGTAAGGTCAGCAGATGTCGCGATAAGTCTTACAGCCGACTGTTAACACATAAATCTTGTAATCTAACCGCTAGGAATAACCACGCAATTAACAGGATGTTTTTATGCAGTCACGTAATATGAGTAAAAATAGGTGTATTAGAATTCACTTAACACACTTATTTTTAAATATAGAATAAATAATTATGATATCGTGTTATATATGTGCATATAGGAGTATTATACTTATTAAATTGTTCATGTTCTCTAGTAATGACGTAATGAATTATCTAGAATTTTATTAGAGGTTCGCCCCGTATTTTAATGGACATAATTATGCCTTAAATGAGTTTATATACTTAACACATAATTAATAAACGATTGTGGCACCTATCAGTTCCGTCAGTTATTATAACGACAAGACAAAGTTAGGTGTGGGAGAGGGAAAGAAGCCTTCGGTAACGTCACTCACACGGCAAAACACAAAGTAAGTGTAGCTTCACACCCATTCGTGCCGAAGTATGGCTCTCCCAAAAACAGACACCATGATAAAATATTATTAAACCATGTAAAAAATTACTATTAGTAATGTGACTAATATCTATTTGGGGCGTCGTTAAGAGCTTGGAATGGATACTAAAACGAGGATTGGACTAGACGGAATAATACAACGACCTGATGATAGCCTTTCAAACAAACTACATTTTTACTACATTTTTTACCTACATACGAGTATAATAACTGTATTGTTAATATAGAAAGTTAATCTTACTAACATTTGATACATAAAATTTGAGAGTTGCTTAAATTGTTTGAAGCGCAATTTGGTAAATAATGGGAACGTTTTTCAAACTGTAATGTCATTAAAGTTAATTTATTACGTGGTATTTTCAATACCATATTTGTAATTATCTCCAAAAAGAAAGCAAAGACACACATTTGAAAAAAAACAATTGCTGTAATAGCACAGAAGATAATCAAGCTCCTTTTATTGAGAAAAAAATTCGTCTTAAAAGGAATCACTCTGTATACAGTCAATCAGTAAATCACGGGTCGCAATATCAACAGAAGACGATCGCTCCACCGACGCCGACACTTCGTTACTACTTCCAGTAAGTTTTCGCTACCGCCTAACTAAGAACGATCCTCGTAATTAAAAAACGCGTTTTATAAAATTGAAGATAAAGGCAGGATTGTTAACAAGTTAATGGTCAATTAATTACTTTTTTTGTAGAAAGGTTTTTTATAACTTAATCATAACACTTTCATCAGTTTTGGTAAGTCAAGTAACTATTTATTATTTTCATGTGCTAATGCGACATATAGGCAGACGAATAACTAAAGAGTGAGAAAGTGTCTCTCATAGACACTCACAACAACAAAAGAGTAGTGAACCTTTGCGGCCCTTTATGGATTAGGTTATTGGAGATGTAGGTATTGGTGTCGAATAGGGAAGGGTATATTAAAAACTAAACTTTGTAGTCACTATGGAGAATATACCTATATGTCTATATGTCTGGAGGTGTGGAGAAAGTAATTATGATCGACACAGGAAGCACATATAGTTATATGTTACACCTTGCTTTATTCATAGTGAAATCCTCACTCCTATCTACCGCACTAGAAACCCTAATTTGCTATCGACTTAGAAATATAAACATTTATATATATTGAAGTTTGTGTTCTTGTATTACTTGAGCATAAAGTTTTCAAACTCATGTACTTTATATGTTAACTACTTAATTCTGATAATAAGTCCTTACATATAAAAAGCTATAAAATAATGAATGCGAGTTACCCACTTTTTTATATTTTTAAATGTTATGCTTTACCTGTAGGTTTACCACGAAGACTTACCATGAAGGCGTGAATCTTTCGAGCGACAAAGAGGGATGGAGCTATACTATACACATTTTATACACTCTGGCCTTACTTACTGTGTAGACTTTCCAGTTTGACGTAAATCAAGTGACAGAAAATAAAAATAAAATACACAATTTATAATTAACTAGCCTTAACATTTCTCATTAGTGGTGGGCGCAGTATCGGCAGCGCAGCTTCGCCAGTGGGCGCGCGGTGGTGCCGAGAGCAGGCTGGAGCGAGCAGTCCTCGCCGGCCAAGGTCGGCGCCTCCTCGCCGAGACCGAAGGCCTATCGCTATCCAACCACTTACCAACATTAGTCGCCAAGTGTGATGCACTACATGCAGCCGTCGAAAAAGGGTCCCTGCTTGAGCTCCAGGTATTACTGGTAATGAAAATTAAATATGTGTAAGGATTATTTTTAAAAAGTATAGAAATAAAGAGATTAAATTGTTGTTAGCCTACTGTAGAGCTAGGTTTAGGTCATAAGAATTGCATGTAATTTACAATACCTTTGCCTTAGTCCTTATTATGTGTTCTGGTCTACTTTCGTATTTTGTGTTGGTGGAAAGAAGCGAAACTGCAAATTAATACTGTAATTATTTATTGCAATTGGGTAGTTCACAAGTCAAAAAGATTTCATCAGATTTTTGAATACACACTTTTATTCATTGTTTTAAAGATATAAGTACTTGAGTTTTATTTTCTTCTAGATAAATAAGTGTGCTGACGTAAAAAAATTTTCGTACAACGTTTATAGAAAAGTATAGATTTTCACATTCAAATGAAAGTATTGAATTTGAATAGTTTGAAACTACTGGGTTATAACTATATTCATTATAGTAAATGCATTAAAAATTACAAGTGAGATGGCATTCGCATCGCATTACAAAATACTAAAACTTTATGAATTTGGTAATTCTTTGTCACTTAGAATTTAACTGTGTGTATAAAATGATATTAATGTTTTCGTGGTATAGCATTTGTCATATTTCACAGACAGGAACAAATACAAGCACTACGCAAACACCGTAGCACGTAACTCATGTAACATCAGTGTAAATATGTAGGTACTTAGTTTAGTCTACACAGAAATAATGTATTAGTAATACCTGTATCATATCACTAAATAAAACTAGAATACGACTACAAACTAATCCACTTATCTCACAAAGTTGAATTTTCACTCAAACATCTCGTAGCAAGTGGCTACGACGTAGCGCTACGAAGCGTAGCGTGTTAAGTAAAGTTGTTTTCGCTAGTTCAGCGTTGTTGAATGTTTTACCAGGAGTTGTTGGAGAGCGACTACAACCGGCGTAAATACGTTATGTGCCGGGACGAGGCCGGCGTCGGCTTGCTGCATAAAGCCGTCTTCTACGACTATATGGACATCGCAGAGTATCTCGTTAGGAATTACCCGCAGCTGGTGCATCAGAAGGATTCTGTAAGTAGTTATATTCAGGCTTGGTAGTATTTTCACACCATTATGGTACCTGTATAAGTTTGGAAGTGTATGTCTGTAGGTGTACCTTGATGTTACAGGCTATTCTAGTTTGCTGACGGAATGGTCTATAACAATCTGAAATGGCCTATTATCGATATTAACAATGTATTTCTAGGTTTAGCGGTAATGTAATTATATTTGAACCGAGGAAATATACACATAATGGACATCGCTCCTTTCATGTGTATTTTCTTGGTAAAGCCTCAGAGACAGGTAAAGGTGCCAACCATGTCATTAGTAGCACAGCATTTTAATAGCATGCCAAAGGTATATATGACAATCTCAGTGTAGCCGCTCCTAGTTGGGCTACGTCATGCATTGTCACAGGAAGGTCGTACGCCTTTACACTACTCGGCTGTGAGCCGGGACTCTGCTTCACTGGCGGCGCTGCTAGAGGGCGCGGGGGCGGCGCGAGGCGCGCGGGACGCCGCCGGCCGCACGCCCGCACATTACCGCGGACAAGCGCGAGAACTGCTCGCGCTACCCGACGCCATGGCGCGCGACAACAAGAACGCAGGTCAGTTGACATTTTAATTTTTTTTTCAGGTTGTTTTTGTTAACTATGACACTGAAAACATTTTTGACTAAATAGGTTTTTTTGAGCGATATTTTGATTATTGGTTCAATAATTAATATATTGAAATTGTATTGTATTATAAAATTAAATAAACCTTAAACTTCCAGTTATTCAAACACTAAAAATTTCGAGTTATAGGAAAATTTTCATCCACTAGAAAAATACTTTTGAAAAGTTTGATACAGTTTTTAATTATATTATTAATATATATTTGGTATTTTATTATAAATCTGTATCCTATCTGTAGGACCGTTGTTTTTAAAAAGAGTATTCATGTATTTAAACGAAGCACCGAACTAACGCGTGCATTTACACCGCCTGCCGTCAGCCGTTAATAAGGGTGTCATTTGTAAAAGCAAAGGAAATTGTGTCAACCTCTAACTACTATAGGAAAAACAAGGAACTATAACCACAATAATCTACGGAATACGGTTGAAAATCTACACTCGTTTCAGGAGGTCATCGTTTAAAGGATATTCAAAATAGAATTGCTGATTATTTTATTACATTAAGTAGCAGTCGCTGGCAAATTGAACCATATTACAATGATAAAAGGTTCAAATATTCAAGGTTCAAGTTATGATCTTTATTACAAATTAAGTACTTTTAATAAAAGTCTACACAAACTGACGTGGGTGTATACCATACGTATTATTGTTACGATAAAAAAATAATTTGACATGCTTAAAAGACATCGTAGATCTAGCTATCACCGCAAGTAACCCAAATATCTATCCATTTTCATTTGAAAATATTTCCTTATTTCAATCAAGTCGGAGCCCTAAAAAGCACTAGTGAACGGTAGAGAGACTTATTACTAATATAAAGCTATCTAGTAGCTTCGTTCACTTTAACAGGGTAAAAGACAGCTATTTCAGATAATAATCTATTAATTTTAATTCAGATTCGTTCAATAGTTTCCACATAATAAACTGACAAATATTTATCCAACCTTACTTAAAAACTTTCAGGCTAATAACGTCACTTATATTATAAAACTCTATATAGCCAATTAGTTGTAAAAAGTAAAGTAAAAACTACATGAATAAGTTATTCATGATACAAAAACCAACAACGAGTGTTTCTCAACAACCTTCTAAGACATATAGCACTTAGAAATCCCGTTTAAAGTTTTCCAAGTCATTGTAAAAAAGTTTCACACTGTATTTCATTGTTTGCACACGAATTTGGTGCCCCCATCGAGTATCGAAGCAGCCTGTATAAGGCCCATAGATAATATAATCACCATACAGGTTGCATGTAGTCAATTTTTTTACGTTTTGAACAATTTGCATGAATAATACGTAAATATGCGGTTGATTTAGTTGATTTATTGCAGCTTGTTGTGTAGTTAGAATCATTTATGACAAACGGCGAAATAACAAATAAATACTTAATCGAAAAAAAAATGTAAACTATCTTTTATTATGCAGTTTACAAGCCGAACGACGTTTAGGACGAAAATCTTTAGTGCATTTTTAAGCGTGTACAGTTAGGTCATACAGCTTAGCGTTTAAAGTAATGCAAATGAACGCGTAAAGAAAATTTATCTCAAACGGTTAAATTTATCTGCTTTCTCCTGTGTCGTGGGTGCGTTTACAAACTTACAAATTCACATATACACAAAGCACCCAGTCCCTGGAACAACAATTTGTGGATCACTCAGAGCGACACGTTGCACAGCAGCCACTTGCCTAGCTACTACGCCAACCCTGCAGTCAAAATTTAATTTCATGATTCCTCTGCACGGACATACATACATTGCAAGGTAAAAGTTTATTAAAGAATACAACATTGAAGATGATTATGAGCAAACCAACAAGAAAACTTTTTGTCACACCCTAAAAATGAATAAATGTAAAAATTGACATATTTTAAACAAATCTTCACTTATAAAAAAATAACAAGTAAGTTATTTTAAACAGTAATTTACTCTACATATCTTGTTAAAATAAATAATTGGAGAAAAAAGCAATATCCCCAAAAATGTCACGTAAACAGGTTCAAATAATTAAGTGACGTACGTACGACGTAATAGCATGATTACGAGAAAAATAAACTGAAGCACGATTACAAAATATAGAAAGAGCTTTCCTTTGACGAATACAAATTGTACGACTCGACATATTGCTAACGAGGAGGTTCAAGTATTTTGTCGTTTCTTGAGGAATAAGTCATTTGAGCCTAGTGTAGTCATTAGCAAACTTAAATAACAATTTGTATTAACACAAACTGAGGGCATTTTTATATGTATAATATTATTTTTAGCTCAGATCCTTGACACACAATTTACATTTACTTTTTTTTATTTATGAAGAACCAGTGTATCAAATTACAGATTAGTACAAATATATTTAAGTATTGGGCAACGCATAAAATGTCTGGAATTATAACCGCTATAAGTCTGGAATTATAATTATACCCGCTATAAGTCTATATTATAATGCTACACATTAGTAATGAGTGCATCCACTAATATAAAAATACGATCAAAAATTGATGTTATATTTTCAAAGTCATAAACACTTATTTCTGATTACCGCTTCGGACAATAAAAAGAGTAATGTTTTTGCTTTTTTAAAATGTATAAAAATAAATATTTAAAGTAAAGAGTTCATGCCAAACGTCCAACGTACTGACAGATTGTATCGTATTGATTACATTTTCCTATGAAACACGTGCAAACTGGCCGGTGACACCACGCGAAACCAACAATTACTAGCACATCAAATAAAAATACTGGCCGTAAAAAATACAAAATTTCCTATTTGAATTTGAAACTCGAACATGAATATAATGCAAAGAATTCCGTTAGCATGTGATGTGGTATGCAATATGCATGCAAGTTTGTTGCTTGCTTAAAAGTGTTAGGTCACGGAATACTAAAAGTTAGCTCTCGTATTTTTTCACGAAATATTCTAAATAAGCGATTGATTATTATTATTTGTAGTTTGGACCATAAGAAAAGTAAAAAAGCCTTTAAATTAATAATTAAAGTAAGAAAACAATTTTCTTTTTCGGGAAACATTAACTTTAAAGTTTAATTAAAAGGTCGCCTTTGTACTAACAATGTGGTCGAAGTATAAAACTATATGTAAGTAAATACATAAAGGAAACCAATATGCAAAAGAAATGCAGGACGATATACAAAAATATAATTTAAGTGTGGGAGAGCCATGCTTCGGCACGAATGGGTCGGCTCGACCGAAGTGATACCACGGCCTCACAGAAAACCGGCGTGAAATAACCACTGCGTTGTGTTTCGCCGTGTGAGTGAGGTTACCGGAGGCCCAATCCTTCCCCTTCCCCAATCCCTCCTCAATCCCTAAATCTCCAAATCCCTAATCCCTAAAAGGTCGGCAACGCACTCGTAACTCCTCCCTTGCGAGTGTCCATGGGCGGCGCTGATTGCTTACCATCAGGTAATCCGTCTGCTCGTTTGCCGACCTATAACATAAAAAAATAATAATAACTGTAGGAGAGAAAATTGCACATTGCCGTAAAAGTTACCCGAAATGGACTTCACATAAGTTTAACTTTAAAATTGATTCTCTGTATGTAAATATGTTGTAAACCTATTAATATATAAAGAAATAACACGTATTATCGTAATAGTGACCTTCCAAATTAGTATTTACAGGTTTTTTCTATAAAGATAAATTAATAGTTACCTTACGCCATACGACCACAATCGTAAGTGATTGACAGTGATAAGAAAAGTCTAGCCTTCTTTCGTAATTACCGAATCAAATCAGACGCTATTGCGAAATGTAATAGTAAAAGCAAATTCAATCTTAAGTTTCAGCAATTTTAGGGTTCTCTTTACAGTAACAACCTGAAGTAAAATCGTTTTATCCCTAAAAGCTCTCTCATGGAAATGTTACAATACATTGTTGAATATGTGACAACTTTGTCACGAAGTAAAATTAAGTTGGTCTAAATTCTTAACCTTTTTAGACTTGGGATGTACAGACTTATATATTAGGGTACCTGAAGTTATTTGGGGCGTAAATGGAGCGCTGGGACCAAGGTATAAAAGACCGTTAGACGCTCGTTAAACCAATTTAGTGATGTCATCTTCCATCAATCACTTTTGTTTTTTGTGAAGAATCCAATCAAATTACTTCTCTTGCCCAGGGAGGGGTAAGAGGGAATGACATACACTTACTGACTTCAACCACCCTGTTCCTTGCCTTGCTGCTTCTCCGAGACGTGGTACATTTTATCTAGACATCAGCCCTGTTTTTTGTCAGGGGAAAATCCTCAAATGTCTTCTCCCACCAAGGGTCGTGCGGGAGGGAGTGTCAGACTCTTCCCTTCCCCATCGTTCCTTCTCCTGCTCTAGGCCGAGCTTAACCCACAACCCCGGAATGGCAACCCTATAGAGCCCCGTCTGTGGTGGTCTATTGGCTCTTTGAGACGTGCGCGGAACGCTACGTGCCGTACGCTCGGGTCTGTTTCTGATCGGGCGGCGAGCTACCCTGACTCGCCAGTTTGAAATTGCCAATCCACCTTGAGTAAGCGAGGTGATTAATGCTCAAATCTTCAATCAACGTTATACTAGCGCCTCGTGATGACTTACAACTAGAAAAACCTTCATGAATTCATATAAGTTGTTAGAAAATAAGTTTAGTATTTATTCAGTATCATGTGAAATACATTTAAAATTGCAGACGAATAAATTATTATAAATTATTAGCTTATTACCTACCTACTATTCGTGCTGCGGTGCCTCTACATAGATAAATATTTCACCACTGAAGTAGCGTCGGACGTGGCAGACATGTTTATGTTAGTCAAATTTAAGAATACTACTATTTATGGCCGTGAAGATTGCATTAATTTAGTTTATTATTATACCTACCTAGTTTAAGTGTACACGGTGGATTTTTTTTAACTTTCTTTTAATCTAATCTACGTAAAATTTGGAACGTAAAATAAATGATCAAAAAACTACAGAGCAACAAAAAAAATCGTTGTTTAAAAAAATGTGTATACATATAGAAAACTTATAATTGATTGGAACCTTCATCAATAAAAATTGGATAAACAATCCTTATTATGCAACAAAATCCTTGATTTCTGACGTGTTTTAAAAAATATTTTTAGCTGTTTTTTATTTTACTGACTGTACACGAATATACATACAGAAAAACTAAACAAAACAATGAGTTACGTGTGCTGTATAATTGTAACTATTATTAAATAAATTCCTTACTAATAGAACGTAACACGGGATTTTACCGTCATAAAGAAATATATCAAATTTTCCATTAAGCCGAAATGTAATAATTATAGCAACACACGTCAATAAAGGTTGCATGACATCTCTGACACGATATTGCCTGTCATCAGTCAGTTCATTCTGATACAACAGGCATAGGTACATACATTAATTTCATTAATAGAAGGCTCGGCTTCAAGCTTAGTGTCGCGTGGTCATGAATATTTATTTTTATGGAAGCCTTTCTACTCTGAAGCATGGCACACCCTTTTTTGTTATAAATATCGTTAAGTGTAGTATTTTCAACTCCCAAAAACGATTGGTCATTTTCCCCTTATAAGCTATCCGCGAAGGTCATCAATTTATAATGTATTACAACAGTGCAATACTGACGTAACATTTTTTTATTGCCTATAAAAGAAATGTTCGTTTTCCGACGTTAAATTAATAAAATTACACATTTCGTATTCATGAAAGTCTAAAGGAAATTGCGGGCGATAAACGTAGAAATTAGACCGAATAAAAGTCAGAGCAAAACAATTACTCAAATTTAATTTTTTGTAGGATATTTTTTATTGTTATTTTTATATATCTACTACGTTCATAGGTGTTTAGTCTAACTTTTAAGGTAGAGACAGAATTGGCAGGCAAAGACCAAGGGTTGGCATTAATTTAAAGTATAAACCATGACCATTGAAATCTGTATGTAGTGGGAGACTATCATATCAGCCTAACCTGACGATGATGAATGTACTGACCCATACGAAAATATAACAAACAAGTCATAATTATTTCGTATTCATAAAACGACTAATTGACTTCAGTATAATTATATCAAATTGATATCAAATCGCAACAAAAATATAAATAAAACGCACAAAACTAAACATAACACCCTCGACAACTTAATAATGTGCTTGGAACTTAAAGAATTTCATAATTAATAACATCATGCGTACAATCTACTTTGTTTTAGGACTTTTTCGTTGTTCCCTCGTACTTTAATCTTGGTTAGAATGTTCTTGCACGCGAACTTGTTGCTCAGCCAATTTCTACGCTTCATATTATTTTGTACGTAATAAAATTTGACACGTTTCGTGTTGTATTTGAATTTGAAGGAGGTATTCATAGGTCATAAATTACTGGTATAGTTCTTAAGTTTATACGTTTTGTTTAATTATGAAGCTGTGTATAGACATTTATATCAACATTTTTGATGGTTGGTGCAAAATGATTTAATCGTTTCATAAAACTAATCAAGCCAGTGTTGAAGCACAATAATGCACTGCAGCCCCACCTCGGAGTAGGAGAAGAAACGGAGAAGTTTTTAGTCAGGAAGAAACTGACACTTTCTCTGGCCCCATCCAGGTTGGGAGGAGTAAAAAAACAATAATATTAATGATACGCAGTGACATACCGTGGCCCAGTTCGGAGCAAGAGTTTGAAATTGGAACTTAGTGATTTTTAATTCATCAAACACCAAGCAAACGCACCTATTATTCTTCTATTGTGTCTCGAATTACCACGATTGAAAGGTTAATTTGTAACAGTCTAATTGCTATAACAACTCTTTAGCTTGCAACTCTTTGGCTTGGCTGACAGTCAACAGGGAATCGAAGAATTGGAAATGAAGCATTCACTTAAACTTCTTAATCATAGGTCATTGTAATAGGTAGGCTTTTTTGATGGAGGAAATCATCAAATGACTTTTCTCAGCGAAAGAAAGCGAATGTCAGACTCTTACTGACTAAACCCAACCCGTTTCTTCTCCTGCTTCAGGCCGGAGCCACGTTCTATTATACGACTGACTAATATGGATGCTACAGCTACGTTCTTAACTACGCTAACATTGCTTACTCATACGTACACAGTCCCTATAGTGAAGTCGAAAAATCGATAACAGTCATATTAACATTTCATATTATTATATTATTTTCTGACTCATCACTAACTATATAAAACTAGGTGTATGTTCTGTAAAATTCTGCATGAAATCGACTACATAGGTTCCTAGATATGAGTTTGATAGTGTTCTATTTTCAATTTCAAAAAAATAGATATAGCCATAGTTTATAATCACCGTAGCTTCTAACTCTAAACAATACTCGAATTCCACACAGTTTTAAAAGAAAATTATTAAACCTACTTTAATTAAAAATTTACTATCATTTTTTTTGCAACAAATATCTTACATTTATTCCAAAATTTATCGAAAATAACAACTTAAGTGAATTAACTGGTTTATTTATTTCATTAAAGTACTTAGTTTCAAGTTATAAAGGAGCCTTATTCATAAGTAGCATTTGCCTCGTGTTGTGTGACATAGAACTAGTAAACCTTTTTTCTGGTCATTAACGGAAGGGCTGATGTTCAGCCGGGGTTGCGGGGTATGGGCAATGAGGCACCGCGACCTCGGCCCAAAGCAGGAGAAGGAACAGGGGGGTTTTTAGTCAGTAAGAGTCTGACACTCCCTCCCGCCCTGCCCTGAGCGGGAGAAGTCATTTGATGATTTTCTGATGTTCCCCTCACACAAAAAAAAACAAAAAATCGGAAGTCGTATTTTCAATAAACTTCTTACGATTACTAAAATACACAAATATAAAATGCATCCTATTGTTTTGTTTTTTTTTTGTTTTTAATTCCTTTATTTAACATAAGAAACATTACAGTCATTATAAAACAGACACGGTCAGTTTATAAGAATCATGGTACAAATATGACTATGCAGGCTAATACACCTATATTAAGTCTTTAAATTACAAATTGGATAATACTCACAGTTTTTTCATTACAATGTAGGTACAAATCACTGTTACACAAGTAATCCGGTAAATTTACGTTAACGCGTCTTTTGAACCAGACACATTTTTAAAACAATAATTTACCATAAATATATGCTAATTAACAATTAATTTCTAATATTATTCTAATAAAGAACATTGATATCAACGGCATTCGTAATAAACTATCTTAAAGATACCCGCCACATACGAATATAATTTATAGCACCGGCGCAAGCGCGTCATCATTGCTACTTGATTCGGCGAGTATGTAGTGATGCGGTAGACGGTATCGATTGTAAGTATCGACATACGGTAGTGTCGATAAACGTGATAATCCGATATTAGATATTAACTTATTTCTATGATCAAAATTTGTGTATTTATAAAATTTTAATGTTATATTATAAATATATTTTTTTACTGTAGGAAATTTAATCTGCAAGTGAAGCGTTTTGAGATTCGTACAGAATGGAGTATCATACGCAATTTTTAAAGCTCTATTTTGCAGAACCTGTAATTTCTGCAAATTGGTTTCACAAGTGCTGCTCCAAACAGGTGCAGCATAAGTGAAACATGGCCTAATCAACGTTGTGTATATTTTGAGTTTAGTGCTAGCGCTTAAATTACATTTCCTATTCAAAATAGGACTGAGTGCACCAAACGCCTTAAGACCTTTTACTTTCACTTTTTCAACATGGGAAGTCCAGTTCAATTTGGTATCAAGGTTAACACCAAGGTATTTGACTGTTCTAGACCATGGTATGTGATGTTCGTTAATAACCAATGTACGATCAGGAATGATCCTATGGATGCATCCTATTGAAAACATACCTAATTGATAATTATTTACGACACTGAAGCGCATCGATCTATTTGGAGATAAAAAACCCACATAACATAAGTTTAAGCTATAGCCATTTGTGCTTTGAATAAAATCTATATATTTTTTTTTTGTTTTAATCGCGACTAGCTACTCTTGCGCGGTTTCACCCGCTGCCGGCTCCATTTGATCGTAGCATGATGTTTTATAGCCTATAGCACTCAGAAACATTGTAGCTATTTATCAATGAAAGAATTTTGGCAATCCGACCAGAGGTTCCAAAGATTACCCCCTACATACATCAAGCTATTAGTACAGATACATTATAAAAAAAAATCAATATACATATAATTTAACCTCGTTGGAAACTTACATACGAAGAATACAAAAGAATAGGTAGGTACCAAGTCAATGATTGTCCTACATTGAAAGGAATGTGGGTGCCGAAGGGCACAGGTGTATGTGATCGATCGATGGGCAAGTCATTAAACATTAAAACCTATCTGTCTGACTTTCAGTCTACCTGAATAATACAACACGTGGCCTTGACACTTCAGGTCGACATAAATGTAACTAGCCATCAATATTTATTTTAATTGTCTACTTTAGGTAAGCCTTTTTACTTGGTACTTTTATGGTTTAGCTAGTTCATTTAGTAAAACTATTAGAATTAATTAAAAAATGTTCTAAGTAAATTATGTATTTTCCCTCCATTGTGTACGGCTTAAATTGTTGAAGGGTTTAGTATGTATACTTATAGGTAAATTGATTACAAATTATGGCGTAAGATTGTAATTAACAAAACAAAAAGTATTTATTCGCGCCTGGGACGCATAAAAGACACAAAACGAACGTAACGTAACGTAATGTAAAATAAATGTAATATGAAACAATACCCTATTCTGTTTTCTTAATTTAATTTCATACTTATATTACTTTTCTCGTTAATATCACCGAGTCTTAAACATAACTGAATGCAATAATTAAAACCAATTCGGTTGATTTCACAATTACCATCAAACATCTCATCAAAATCTTCAATAATTTTTAACAAGTTAAAACAAAGCTATTTGATGTCTTCATTGCAGTTGGGAATTATTTAACCCATGCGATATAGCTCAGGTACTGTTAGTCGACTCAAGTGCTCTACTTTATGTAAAAATAACAAAAGTGAAAATATTTTCTTCAACTAAACCATAAACAGATACTTTTGAAACGCCGAAATAGAAAAATAGTCCGTCAGTCTGTTCGTCAGTGAAGCTAGGTGAGCGTTGCAAAGTGTGAATTTTATACCTGGAAATTAATTGGTCATAATGTACCACAGAGAATTTTAACTTCATCATTTATATTACCTAAAATGTATGTAAAGGGTGTCCCTTTCTAACCTAACCTAACCACATATGTCGTATGTATGTATGAATTAATTCCCAAGTGAACATAGAGTTTTAACACAATTACACCATTAACACAATGCCTAAGTCTAACATACAAAAAAAACTTAAAATATGCGGTATTTTTTGTAAATTAGGTCAAATTTATAAGTAACACACGACAATAGAATAGTTCATGTTTGTATACATATGTACATATATGTATGTGGTACGTTTGTGTGTGAGTACTTAACATAGAATCCATATTGATTTTATTGGAATAGCCTATCCATCCACATTATTCCACGTCAGTGATGATGTTTAAACATTAGATACATTGAAAATAGAACTTTATTATCAGGAACCATTAAGTAAAGTACATAAATTAAAAAAAAGTGAATACGTAATAACCGTTTGTCCGAAATTCCAATAAGTAGGCGTGGTATGAAAGTATTTACTTATTTTTTCCTGCATTATACTAGCTGCCATACCATATAAATTATACTATCAACTATAAGTCAACAGCATCAGCTTATAAGTGCCCACTGCTGAGCTAAGGCCTCATCTCATACGGGGAAAGTCTGAGCATTTACGCGGATTGGTAATTTCAAACGTATTATACATAAAATACAAGATTTCCTCACGATATTTTCACTGAAAAAAAAAGGAAAAATTATGTAAGAAAGAATCTATTTATAACTTGGGAAAAGTAACATTGGTACTGGCCAGCATTAAATCAGGTGCTTTGACCTCCAAGCCACCATGACATGAAATTGTACCAAATAACATGTAAGTAAAAAGTATTTTATACTGAAATCAAAATAAAACTCAGAAATACATACTAGTCTACCCGTATTATCACAACTTTAGACAAAAACATTGAAAAAAAGAGATGTTTAAAAATAATGTGTTAACGTAAGTTTTAATTGGTTTTCGTTGTAGCAAACTAGAATCTTTTGTAGTTTATTTTGTATTTACTGCCATCCAATCAGCATTCGGTAGATTTCATTCTGATCGGCTCGAGCCTCATTAATCGTTTTAAAAAACTTTATTATTTCTCTAAATAGCCAATCATTGTGTTTTTATGTGGGCTTGATCACTGTGATTTTCTGATAACAATCAAATTTAGTACCTACCTAGTGTTAAAGCTTGTAAATTGAAAAACAATTTTATCCTTAGTCAAAAATAAATTATTTCGACTTATAAAATATCAAAAGAATGAAAAATAAACACAATTCCATTGATCAATTTAGCGGTATTCCGTACAATATATGGTACAATCGTATTTCTTGAGATTTAATTTAATATTTTTAACATTTATCGTAAAAAATATGATGACTCTTACTAAGTACTTCATACATAATTAGGTAATAGAAATTGTAGTTGGAAACTAACTTAATTAAATACTTAGATACCATAAAACATGTAAGGTTTATTTAAACATTCATTATAATAGTCTACCAAAATAAAAACATTCGTATTTTAGAAATAATTTCAACGGAGTAATTATTGCTCGAAAAATTATACCGGAATACTGTAATTAAGTGGATTAGTAAAGGGCAGTCCGACATTTTGATTGCTGTAATTATCTAATTATGTAATGTCTACTTATATAACTAGTTGTACCTTACCTTACAGAAGTACCTACTTACCAAGTTTGACCAATAAGCATTCCACTCATATATTATTATATTTTATTTATTGCTAATACGTAATGTTGGAAATGCTAGCAAAATCTGAATCATATCTAATTTTACTGAATTATGTTATATGATAAAACGAGCAGGCGGATTTCCTGATGGCAAGCAACCTGCGCCGCCCCAGCAAACATTATGGGGATAAGGCGTGTGAAGTTTAAGGATTAGGAAGGTGTAGGCGTCAAAACTCAACGCTATAGTTGTTCCACGCCTTTTTAAGCTACCTTTGACCACTATGCCTTCGATTATCGTTAACCAAAAACCTAATTTAGTATCGGACGTACTGACTCGACTTTATCGCCTTAAGACATTATATCGTGAACCACCCCAGACCTAACAGCCGTTTACAATAGTTAATGAATTCCACCTATTCAAAAAAGGGGAAGTATTTTTCAGCATTTTTCTTGTGAATGGCGGTCACCTTGAACTTTTCCATCGATTGCAATTCTAAGTATACCTAAGTAGTTTATATTGAGGTTCCTTTCAACTGGCGTGTTGGTAAAGCTATATGCCTTATCTTACATGCTACTTGTAGGCAATGACATGGTATACATAAATGTAGGTTCACATACATGGTGGTGTAATATTGCAGCTATACATACTGCCTTCATGGTTTAGAACATAAATAGTTTGCACGATTATTTTTTTGTACTTTTTTAATTCAAATGATTTTTATTGGACGTCTCTGGTAGCTAGAACATTGCGGCCACCTTTTTAAAAATGAAGTTAAGTTTTTTTAAAGAATAATCGATTTTTCAGTTCTTCAGTTAGTTCGATCCGTGCTATCTTTTCGAATAAGGCTGAAGTATCCACTACAAAAATACTAATGAAAGTACTACTAGTGATGCATAAATTCTCATGAGAAATAAATAAAATAACACATTTAAATATTATCGAACTAGTTCGCTGCGTCATCTATATTATTAATGGCTGTCACTGGTGTCTCTTTGTACATAAAGGTAGATGAACAAGTATATAATTATCTATATATGTTTTATAATATAATGGAAAAGGTAAAACTAAATACACTCCGCATTATTAGTTATGACTTATGACCTTTATTTACGAACGTTATTATTATGTATTAATAATAACAGAAATATTTTTTCAACCGCATTCGACGATATTTAATAAAAATTATGATATTTAAACAAGAATGCAATAAAATAAACTGTGAGCTTTTTAGTTGCAACTTAGGTACTGCATAAAAAAGTCTTATTTTTTCTCCCTCAAAGAACAAAATCGGTTAGCTATTTTTTAAATACAAATTAATATTTTACATTTTCTTTCATATTTCCACAGGTCTGGTGATTAAGCGTCACAACATAAGGATATGGTGCCATGATTGTGATATGGCGCGCTTGCAGCGCGTGGTGTGGGAGGGACATGGCTCTCGACTTCTCAGCGAAGTGTCCAACCAACCAGTCGTGAAGAAATTTCTAGAAGCTGTTCCTTATATCATGGTGAGTGTGTAGTGTCTGTATTCATAAACAATCAATATGCTTCAAAATACGACTTTAATTACCCATCTTTATTTTACTAAACTAAACTACTCTGAGATGTTCCGCTGTGAGAAGAAAAAGAAAAATCAAAACTCAAAGGTCATGTATCAACTATGCGCCTTAAGACTTTGTGTCTATCGATCATATACTTTGTTCTGAAGTATCAATCATGTGTTATTTTGTTTTGTGGAGCTCGTTCTTCAAATATGCTCTGTAGTTACTTCTTTTCTTATTTCCATGACGTTATTCACAATAACAAAAACAATCTGAATTAGATTTTAAAACATCTTAAGTCGTAATAATAGTCAGACTTAATCAATCATGAATCAGACCCAAGTAAACAGAATAAATTAACCTTCTGCTCAGTTTCTGTAGTCTGACACTCCAATCCAAGGCCATTTCACAGACGGGGCCCTGTAGGACTGATGTTTAAACGGAGTTGCGGGGCAAGCACAATAAGGCACCTTGGCCTCAGCCTAGAGCAGGAGAAGGAGCGGGGTTGTTTTTAGTCAGTAAGAGTCTGACACTTCCTCCGGCTGACCCTGAGCGGGGGAAGTAATTTGATGATTTTTCCCTCACAAAAAAAAACTATTTGATGATTTGCCCCCTTAAAAATAAAATACTTAGTTTCTGCAATGTCATTATAACTTAGCAATTATATTAAAACAATAACTTGTTAATTTTCCAGAATACCATCAGGGACATCCACGCGGCTGTAGTGCAGAATGACCTCGAAGGTCTGATGAAACATGCTGGCGATCCTGTGCCACCACAAGCCCTGTCCAGTAGGGACGCAAACAATATGACAGTTATGCATAAGGTAAAATACATAAAATATATAGAATAATTATCTTTACCTACATATTTATCTGTTTTTTAGTAAAACCACTTAAAATACTCAAAAACTTTTGGACATTTATACCTACCTATATAATTTTCCAATAGCAAAATTCCATAATTCTTAAAGAAACTATAGACGTACAATTTATTAAGGTTGTGATCACACAGACGGAATCTAGTTAGCCGTGGGCAGTAAGCTAATTTATTTATAATTACATAGATAGGTTATATAGCTAATGCTATAATAACAGGCTTTATTATATCTATTTCTTTAACCTTATCAAAGCTGTATTCTTGACCAGCTGTCGATATCACAAGTTTATATTGATTGGACGTCATCTAATAGATAATTAATTGTGGATAAAAGAATACGAAAATTTTATACGTCTTTGTCTGAACTTTAAAAAGTTTTTATTCTAGTATATCACATATCTGAACTTGCTGTTTGGCTAAATGTAAGCTAGTAATGAAGATAAATGGCAAATGTGTGACGTTACATATATCCTAAAGTCTAATAGATGCTTAATAACCATAACAATTGTTAAGGAAGGTGTCCACCATTAAGAAGGAAATTGTTCAACAGAAGTTTACAACTAATGAATATACGAAAAATTTTACTTCAACTAACGAACCTGATAAACAGGCGGCAGGTTTAGGCCACGGCGGTATCCTGAAGTATATTGCTGAAAGGTACCCACAAGGTATAAACGATGTAGACAATGATGGTCGCACACCACTACATTACGCTGCAGCTATGCGGGACGACCAGCATACATACAACACACTAGTCAGTCTTGGAGCTGATGAAAGTGTCGTCGACAACGTAAGTATTGATAAGAACCTACAAAACTACTTACACTTCGATAACACTGCATGCTCAATTCTATTGAGCTAGTTTCACTACAATCTAAAACTTTATTTAATCGTCACGACTTATTACTTATTTTCTGATTTTTAGAAAAATAAGACTCCAGCCTATTACATCAATAGGCCCCAGGAAATAGATAAAAACATGTTCAAAACACTACCTGATGCCCCCAGAACACCATCAAGTGCCTACCCAAATTCTTGGGACTGGAAGTTATTGGACACTGAAGTCATAGCTGAACTAAATAAAAAATCTAGGAGGAAGAACCATAAAGCGTCCAATGAAAATATTTCGTCAAAAGACACAAACACTAACACAATTTCTGAAAGTACAGACAATCGTATTGGGGGGATGAAGGGCAGTAGCACGCATGAACTCATTAATAATTTGCCTGAACTAGATGATGCAAAACAAACGAAAGACGATATTGAAAATCACATTGCAAATGTAGAAAGTAACAAGGTGAGCATAGCATGTCACGGTTTCACGGAATGTTGTTAAGTTGCGTTGCTTTTTTATGAACATCTGCATGAATTTTTATTTTATGCATTTTAGGAATCAGACGTAGTTGAAGAAACTCATGAACAAGAACAAGAAAACGAACAAAATGCAGAAGAAACTGAAGATAAACAAGATCATGCCAGCGATGCCGAAGAAGCAGTGGAAAATGCTGAGGAACATGCTGAAGAACCAAAAGAACCTGAAGAAGTGGTAGAAAATACAGTGAATGAGTCAAATGGCGACAAACCAGCCGACGATGAAAAACCTAGCGAAGATATTGAGGAAAATCCAGCAGAGAGTGAAGAAATTGCAGAAAATAAAGAACAAATCCATGAAAATGCAGACAAAGAAAATAAAGATCACGAAGCAGCAAATGAAGAAAATGAAAAATCCGAAATCGAAACGGAAGCAGAAAAAAATAATGCAGAAGAATTTGAAAATAACGAAACCGAGCAATTGAAAGACAATGATAATGTGCACGAACATAGCACCGACAACGACGGCGTAGAGCAAAAAACTGAGGATAACGGACCAGATGAAGACTCAAAACCAGAGCTACACGATAATGAACCAAAAGAAGAAACTCAAAATAATGAAATGCATAATAATGAACATGAAAAAGAAAATCACAGAGTAGAATCTGCAAAACCAATTTCTCAACATGAAGAAGATAATAAAGACAATGAATCCAATCATGATGAAAATGAAAGCAATGCAGATGCAGAGGATTTTGGTGCTGCGTCAAATGAAGGTAATACCAATGGTGAACACACTGAAGATGATGATGATGTTCAAGTGCAAGGAGAAACACAGTCTGAATATAGTGATTCGCATCTTAAGAGCACAGCAGAACTGCCTCACTTGGGAAGTGCCAAGAGAGGTAAACCCGAAATCTCTTCTGGCACTATACACGAAACAATCAAAACATAGTCCTCGTAATTTTAATCAATTATAAGGGGGTCCCTGACAAGTTCAATATTTTTGATTATTTTGCTAATTAAGGAAACGTGACCGACGGCCGAAGCACACAGGAAAGTCTTATAGAAGGTGTAGTGAATGGTGAAGCCGAGATGGACTCACAGGATGCAAGTATGACGCAAAGAGACGGATCATTGCACGGAGAAGTTCTCGTAGTTGTAAGTATATATACCACTTGTACCATCAAGTAAGACAATCGACCGACTAAAGAAGGTAATAAGTAAATTGATTAGTTGATTGTGGTGTTTATTAGATTAGAAGCATCATTGTAGCACTGTGTATTCTCACAGACACCTCGTAACACCACTGTCATGAATTGATTTGCCGGCTTCTTAGATATCTGTACTTTCTCAAGTAATTCTATTAGTCAGCGATTGTAGTTTCCAACACTGCCACATTACAAATAATATTTTTTTATACACAACTAACATTTCCTTTTTATAATTTCGCAGGATAACGAAATAGATCCAGAAGTAACTGATTTAATTAACAATGCAAATATGGAAATGTTAGCCACATTAGTATTAAACGGAGAAGGATCAAGGCTAATAGGAAGACATTCTAGAAACTCTGAATTGCAAGCGTTTCTTGATAATGTACCAACTTACATGGTAAGGTTTTATTTCAAAGACGTTACTTTTAGGTTAAAATTTGTACAACAGCATACATTTCGTTTTATTATATTTTAGCAAAAAATAAATAAAGTTCACATAGCAGCAAGGGAAGGTAATATAAGGGATCTACAAGCAGCTTTGGACAGACGAAAATTTGCAATAGCTCGCGATCCAATATCACCCAATGGAGCAACCCCATTACACGTAGCAACAATATTTGGCAAAACCAACATTATCAAATATTTGGGTGGCAGGTTTGCTATTTCTATTCGCCATCATAGAGTGCAGCAACATTATAAAATGATCAACGACACTTTGATTCCATTGTTTATAATACTTTTTCAGATTCCCTGAAACATTATCTGCGGTAGACTTTGAAGGAAGAACGGCTTTACATTACGCAGCTGTTCTTCCAGATAATGGACATTACTATAATCTACTTCAACAACTAGGTGCCAACTCAAAAGATTTAGACGATGTAAGAAAAGCTCCATCGCTGACCTATTATAAAATATTGTACTGGTAATATTAAAATCCAAAAAACTATTTGTTTGTAGAACGGAAAGTCAGCCGAAGAATATCAAAAAAATCCAACTCTATTACCTTTTCATCAAATGTTGTCAGATTATGGCATAAGTGAAGACGCAGCGCAAAGCATGTTCTCCGATAAAGGTATGTAATATGTAGGATGAAAGCCGCTTCTGCAAATGAGAAATGCACTACAAATGAAGAATTTCACTAAGCATTAATTGTTGTAATAATAAAATGTTGCTTGTTCTAACCTGAGTATGTCTAGTGCCCGAGGATCAAGTCTCATCTCGGCGAGCTCTGGATACGCCTGAAGCCTTGGATACCTTGGAAAGATGTTATCACCTGTTAGCATCTGCAAGACCAGCTCGAACACCATTATCTGCATCGTCCAACAGAGCTACACCACCACTCGTACTCGCACGGTTCCTAAAAAAGCCAATTTTCGATATCATAAAATATAGAATCACCAAATTAGACCATGATCTCTTTGATGTCATCTGGCCTGCTGTCAAAAAGCTCCCAGATAGCAGGAATATTATTCAAACTGTTGAGGAAGATTTTCCCGGGGGGATAACAGCTCCTGATTATTATGTGTACGACGTATTCAATGAGTTTTTGATACCGCTAGTTAAAGATCTTCATAATATTAATGTTAATTCAGAATTGCCCACACACCCCAAATCAAACTTTATGGGTACTTCATCAGCCAAGCTATCTTCTGAACCTCTAGTAGAAATAAATATTGACCCCAACGACGAATTTATTCTATCAGGGGTAATAGAATGTTCACGCAATTTGGAAGGATTCGAGCTTCCATTAAACTTGAAAGTTGGTAAATTGGAAACAATAGAAAGAATTGTAACCACACTTTTGATGAAGGAAGAGTTTTCAAAGTTTTGTGAATTTGCTAACCCTGAATCTGACCAAAAAGGTGGAACATATTACACGATGAATGAGGTTTTAGAAAAGCCATCAGAAATATGTGCCACATTAGCATCTAGTGGTCTTCTGATAGCTCTTTGCGATAGAGAGGAGATTGATGACTGTGCGAGGTTACATGGGAAGCATTGGCCTTACGGTCGTGGCGTATTCGTCACTGATGACAGAACTGTAGCTGTGTGGATAAATGTACATGATCATATACGTGTACTTGTGTCCTCAGCACAAGACTCACCGGGGGAAATTGGATTACCCTTCAGCAAACTTTCATACATCATGACTTATCTTCACGAGAAACTAGATTTCACGTGGGACACTAAATTGGGATACCTTTCTGCGAGGCCCACGTTTCTGGGAGCAGGCATTCGATTTAGCCTTATTGTTAATTTTCCGGGACTATCAAAAGATCCTGATAACATGAAACATCTTTGTGCCATGAGAGGACTACAGTACCGAGAAACGCTAAGTCCTGAAATAGCTAGAATTAGTAACTATCAGTGTTTAAGCGTTACGGAGACGAGTTGCTTCAACGATTTCGCGACGGCGACATCAAATTTACTACACCTCGAAAAAGATTTATCGATGCAAAATTCAGCACACATTGCAACGATGTTGTCAAATATTTTCCGTAAAAAAAGAAATAGTATAACTAGTCACGATAGCCCAGAGAAGAGGGAGAAATATTAGATGTTAACATAATGTACAAATACTAAATACCTACTTATTTATTTTTCACTATCACGTTCTACACATAACACAATTAATTTATCGAATGTTGGAAAGATTGTAGGTACTGATAACGTGCCTATGTATGGTTGCAGCTGAGCAACATCTAAATAACTATTTGCATCTCTAAAGTTTTAGGTCAGTACTAAAAAAATATTTGATATCCTTGTGAGGTGGCGTGTTCGTGTGAGTCTTACACCAGTGAAGTCACTGCAAACATTCACACTTGCACATCAAATACTATCTTAAAACGCTTTCGTCTAACTGCACGCTCACCATCAACCATTTCTGTCTTTCCGTCTTTCCAACATTAGATACAGTGTGACGTTAAAAATGTACTGTCCTGTCTTTAGTTTGTGCTTTCTAGAAACTAAGCGTTGTAGAAATATAGTTATTTGTAAATCTACGAGTATAGTGAACTTTTGTAACTATTTTACTTACTGATCAACATACGATTAATAACTCAATCTGTCTATGACTATTGTAACGTAAAACGGTTTATATTATGAACGTTTAAAGGTCGATCGATAACAATAGGCCATATCAATTATGACTGGCGAATGCTAATAGAAGCCTCTGTCCAGTTCCCACTACCACCACCAACTATAATCGTCGCCCACCCACTGCCCCCTTCAGATGTTCACGTTCGCGTAAAAACCCACGTGTTTGATGTAGTCTCGCACCCTCCCCCTCCCACGCAAACCTATTGAAGGCCAGCACTGAATAATTGATCGATTTCAGGCACAAGCCACCCCGACAATGGCCACATGGACATTCCCATCTTTCGGACCGAAGAGGGCAGATACCTCGCTAAGTGTAAGCTCCTATTAAAATTTAAAATAGTTTTTAATAAATACGGTTTTGTTCAATGACAAAAATGGAATGGAAGAAAAGCAAGGAGGTTGATTTGAACGATGTGTTCACAGCTCTCGGCGATCCTTTGATCAAAGGTCTGACCGAGGTGGCTAATATAAAGCCTAAAGATCCGGTCGCGTTCCTGGCAAGTTTTCTTCAGAACTTTCCTGAACAGGAGAAATCTAATTTAGGTACGCAGGTGAGCAAATATTCGACACTTTATTATTGTTTTGTCTAACTTCAATGTTATTGTAATCCTGATCCATAAGTTTTTTATTGTTTTTCTGAATGTAAATAATAAACAAAAAACCATGACTAATTAATCATTTTTCACATTACCCACTTGAAATCAGAATAACAGAATACTTATATTGACCGAAATTTCAACATAGTCGAGTCAACCCCTACTTTATTTTGCACGTGATATAGTTGAATGTAAGTCGTTATGTGGTAGTAAGTTCAAATTATTAAGTGTTAGTATTACGGGATCAGGTATCCGAAATGATAGTAACACGAGAAGCAGCAGAAGTAGAGAACGAGCTGCCGGCGCCGACCGTAGCCGCACCACTACAATCAAACGCGGTGACCGCCGTCCGCAACCGCACGGCGACCAAACAGCGGCCCATTGACATCGTCACCGTCGACCCACAGCCCGTCACCAGTCCTGACGCTCCCGAATCCGCCTTCAGTAGTGCCACTAGAGTGAGTTCACATAACTATTTCCACTCAGCTAATTGTCGTTCTAGTTGTAACAACTTTGATTGCTTCAGGCAATTACAGTCCTTTGTGACTCGTGTCATTAAGTAGCAGTCCGTAGAGGCAGAATTATAGGCGTATATCAATATTACTTGAACTCTTTGTTTGCCTTAACTGACCCAGTTGCGCCTTTTATTTCTTTTTTTATATCGATACCAATGTTATAACGTATTTGACGACTAGTCAAATTCAAAATTTTTATTGAAACGTCAAAAACGAAACTGTTTTATGAATTTGGTATGGAAAACAGAAATGTGACGTCATCATATTTTGGGTCAAACGGTTTTATGCTTTGTTCATAAAATGTAACAAATAAAAATCTAAAATTAAGTACAACGTCAAATTTATCAATGAACTACTGTTATTTTTGAATATTTAATTGCATTGAAATCTTGAAGGAATTTATTTTTGACCGAGGTAAATACCCAATTGTTATAAGTATCACAAAAGTGTATCGCTCATTATTTAATTTTTCCTCTATTAGGATGAACATGGACAATCAATGCTTCACTTCGCGGCAGCTCGCACGCACACACGGAACGCGCTGTTCCAGCTCTTGCAGGAGTCAGACATCAGTCTGGGATACAGGGACGAACTGTACAGGACTGCTCGCGACGTCTCCATACAGGCAAACGTACCGGAGAACACCGTAGAGATTGACAAGTGGCTGTTACATATGGCTGCCAGAGGTAATAGAGCCCTGCTGAATGCACAAAATAATTATACAATATTAAAAGCTATTATAATAAAGTTATTATAATAAGTCACCACGAGACTCTCATTCACGAGCAGCATGCGTGTCGCAACAACTGTGCCCAACCGGTCCCTTTATTCAAAATAACCAGTAAATCTTCGTTATTTTAAATGTAATATGTGTTACTATAAAAAAAATATGCCAAAAATCTTACTAATTTCCGCAGTCTATAAAGTTGACGATAATTTTGTTACAGGAAATACAGAAAAGATAATGGAACTATTAATGGAAGGCTACGATCATATATTAGATGTAGTTGACGATGAAGGAGTGCCGATTACGGAAGTCATAGCGCAGCGCGGAGACACTAATATGAGCAACTTACTCGCGTCTATACCAGCTTTTGAGGTAAATATACGCTTTATTTACGAAATTACAAGTGATTACTATATTTCTACGCGATTGTCACTACTATGTAGCCATACCTAATGTGGGTCAAGTTACTTAATGATGTAAATCACACTTATATTAATTTACCTATAAACACAGATTGTCACACAGAATACAATAACCAATAATTACTAGTACTTTGCCAGTAGTACCACAAATATTACACCATAACTACTACGTGTCTCTTTGGAAACGCAATAGTTACGTTAGTGATACTACGCCTAAGTTCCAAAACTCTTTTATGCACAAGACTTAGTGCTATAGTGATCTTCGTTGCTTGGAATAGATAAATATGTACATGCTATATAGAAAAAAAAATGGTAAAGGTTATTACAATTAACGGTATATATTCGCTTCGTGGTTTAGTGGTTTAGATGATGGTTGGCGGTAATAGATGTCTATAATTACATTTAAATAAAATTATATGTATAAGGGAGCTACATCTGCCAACAAACTGCTTTACAGTTTGGCGGAAGTAATATTTTTTTTTTTGTAAATTTACTGTAATTATGAATAAACGCTTTTCCCATTTCATTTCATTTTCATACGGCGTAGCGCGGTAACAACAGCGCTACTACGCCGTAGTGCTTCTACGCTACGCTACAACGAAAATACGCCTTAGCAAAAAAAAACAAAATAACGGAAAACAGGGTGAATAGAATTCGAGGGGTGAATAGAGACAGAAGAGGGGTGAATAGATACTTGGAAAATTCGCCAACATCGCTTCACCCCTTTCGTGTGTTACCGTATTACGTTACCTAAGAATTTTCCTTAGACTTATATTTCGTCAATCGTACTCATTGTCACGTCGTTTTATCAGGAATCCCGTGAATCCCTTCACGGTGCAGTTCGTCGTGGCGACTTGCCAGCTGTACAGGCTGCTCTGTCAGGCGAAGGTGGCAGGACCTTGGCTCGCTGCCAGAACACGTTCGGTCGTACAGCGTTACACGTCGCTGTACTAGCACAACATGAAGATGTCGTCTCCTATCTTGCGCAGAACTACCCTGAGCTACTGCGTATTGGTGATAATGTGAGTTTATTTTATTGTTTCTAATCTTGTTCACCACTCCATTATTTACCTTGTATCGTGGACATGTTTAGATCTTTTTATAGAAAAAAAAACATAACTTCAGCATTCAAGTGTAATTGTAAATATATGTATACTAGCAGAGGCTTGTCAGTAGCAAATTAATATTGGTCTGTAGTTGCTTTGCAATTAATATTGGTCTGCCTTCTTAAAATATTAATTTAAAAATATATTAATTAAACAACCTCTTTTCTAAATAGTTATTAATAGACACGCGAATTTACCGCTGTTTTTATGACCATAAAGTTGTTTTTATGTCGTAGTCCTCTAAGTTATTTTAAGACTGAATCATCATCTGTCCTTAAAGACTGTCCACACTGTCCATAATTGCATTAGAATAACTGGCCAATAATCTTTAAACCAATTGAAATTTTCCTTCACGTACCAGTTGGAGCGCACTCCGCTACACTATGCTATGGGCGTAGAGAAGATAGAATCACTGAGCAGGGTGCTGATCAGAGCTGGAGCCAAGCGCGTACTGAAGGACCTCAAGGGTCGACAACCCACCTACTACTTCATGAACAAATCAGAAATACTGCGGCTCAAGGAAGAAGAGGACGTATACTGATAGACCACAACAAACCTTTAGAAATAGGCGTCAAAGATGGCTGTGGCTTGTACGAAATACTTTGTAAAGGGCTTACGACAGATCAGTATAGAAATAGAATAATTACTTGCTTCTTATCACGCACATTTTGCAATCGCAATCCTTAAGTTTAAATCTCAATTATCATCGTAGTTTAAATTAGGAATAGGATAATTATCGCGTGCCGAATAGTAGATATTTGTGTATTTTCTATGGTATGTATATTATACTTGATGGGACCCTAACATATACCTTCAACATTATTACTAAAATAAAACTAAATGTGGAAATAAACAATTCGTTTTATTAACGAGCGTTCAGTTTGTCAAGTACCATTAGCATAACCACCCTGATAAAATATATAATGCGACTACAACAAAATGTTAATCTAAAAATTTAAAATTTATTCTATAAAATGAAGTACATCAATTACTAAATAATAAGAACAAACATTAAAATACAGTTTCATGTATGTAATTACATAAAATTGTGATTTTGACGTGCGTAATTTTAAATTACCTACAATAATTAATTATAATAATATCTCCTTAGATGTTCATGTGGGAAACTGCCAAGGTTTGGGATTAATATACATTTGTGATACGGAACCGCGCATACCTGAAAAGATTCGTCACGTTAATAGAGCGTTAATTAAAACATTAAAAGAATGGCAACTATTTACATTTCATATAGTAATTCTATAGTACCTGTGGTAATTCAAAGAAAGTAATTTGAAAAGAAACTTTAAATATTATAACTAACAGATTGGATTTAATACTACTTTTCGAATATTTTTCTAACTTAAATAAGTTGTGGCCTAGTTTGTTTACGTTTTCTTAATTAGGTACTTAAACATACTAGACTAGAGGTGCATTGGCTTATTCGTCTTAAAATCGCCGAGCACATAAAATTTAAAACTATGTATATCTATACTAATATACAGTATATATTATTAAGTTTGTATGTAGAGGGTAATCCTTGGAACCGCTGGATTCGGATTGCCAAAATTCTTTCAATGATAGATAGCTACAATGAAAACATCACGCTACGATCAAATGGAATTGAGTAGCGGGTGAAACCGCGCGAGAGTAGCTAGTTTAATCATAAGACGACGATGCGTGGAAAAAGATATTGCAAAAAAATAACATATTCTACCTATATAAGTATATCATTTTCAATAAAACGTGGAAAAGTCGTGTTGCTCTTGTACATAATAATATTTTAATTAAAAATATTGCTCAAAAATGTTTCAAACAAAACATTTAAGAAAAAACGTATTAAGTAATATTTTTTTAATTGAAGTCAAAAAGTCAATGACCCGCGATCAAAGCGAGCTTACGTATTTAAAGACCTAAGAACACATTTTTTTTCAATGTAACATTACAAATTAATAATAGAAACGGTTAGCCACCTTCTTCATCATAATCGAACAATGCGTCAATGCTCGACCATCGTAAACAGTGAATAATGAATGACAACACACCGGTCAATAAACGGCAGAATGCATGTCAATCGATTTATAATAAGAGTCACGATATACGTAGGCGATAGCCTAGATAATATTTATAACACAGAGGTCAATAAAATAGGTTGCATTATTTCTACAAAGTTGTAACTTTACCGTTGCACGATAAATGTGAACATTTATTTTTAAATAAATTTTGTAAAATAAATATTTTCGATATTTATCAAGAACTACATTGTTTCAAAAATACAAAAGTTGCCCTATACTTATGGATTATTGTGCTCTCACGGATTTTCGAGACATGCTACATAATAATAATTATTATTTTTGCCATATTTCGATAAGATATTATGCGATCCTATTTGGTAGGTATATTTTGCCATTTAATAAAAAGGTATCTACTAACTTAGTTCTCCTTGGTTAAGTGGTACGGGGAGCGGTTTATTCTTGCTGGTACGCAGCCAGTCTCTGTATGCTCGCTCGTTATTTGCTCTCCTGCGCTCCTCCTCGATAGCAGCGCGCGCTGCTCGACGCTCTTCCCGTGTTTTCATTGCTGTAATAGGTATGTATCTTAATATCTTGTGTCGTGGTGGCCCGGAGGTTAAGGAGCATGCATGAGGGTGTGGGTTCGAAACCTGGCAAGTACCAATGTGACTTTTTCCGAGTTACATGTACTTTCTATGATTATTTAGACACCACTGACATACGGTGAAGGAAAACACAGTGAGGAAACCTGGACTTATAATTTCTAATTATTATTATAAGTTTGAAATCGCCAACCCGCATTGAGCAAGCGTGGTGATTAATGCTCTAACGTTCTCCGTATGAGAAGAGGCCTTAGCTCAGCAGTGGGCATTTATAGGCTGATGATGATGATGAATAGGTATTTATTATATGTTTTTTATAAAAAGCTCCACGCTGCGATTTCTTCCAGTATCAAGGGTGCCTTTACAGGCATATAATTCCACAATTCCACGAGTACCTAACACTCAGCATGCTATTTGTGAATCAAAGGCACACAGCAGCTGGATGCCCTTAACCGTGCAGTCTGATTTTGAAGATATAAAACTTATTTTTCCATATTGAAATATTATCAGCTATCAGAACTTGATCGAGCTTCGACTGTCTTTGTCTTTTAGATTTATCTCGAATTACAGAGTAGAAGGTTTCCTTGTTAAATGTTGTCATTGTTTAATAAGTAACCTATCACATTTTGGCCGGCTCGGGCGGCTCGACCACACCTTGAAACAACCACAGCGTTGTGTTTCGACGTGTAAATGAGGTTACCGGAGGCCCAATCCCACAACCTCCCCCCGTCCCTTCCCAATCCTTAAATATCCACAACCCTTATCCCTAAAAGGCTGGCAACGCACTTTTAACTCCTTTGGTGTCGCGGGAGTCCGTGGGCGGCGCTGATATCTAAATGAAAATATTAACTCCTTTGGTGTTGCGGGCGTCCATGGGCGGCGCACACAGTGCATGCACACATATAAGAGGTGAAAGAAAATACAAGAAACACACGTAAGATTGATGTATGTACCTATAAGAGACATTATGATTGATCTACCTTTTAACTCTTCTTCCTTCTTATGAATCCACACTGCTAGTTTCTCCTCCTTGTCTCTCTCGCGTTTGTTTCGTTCTCTTTCTAATTGTTCCTTATGTCGGTACTGTCGCATTATCTCCTCGGCTCGTTGTCGCTCGGTTTGGGTCCGCTTTCGCTCCAGCCAACGCCGGTACGACTCCTCCCGTTGCTCCTGTGATGTCGTGGGTCCTGCCTGACGCTTCATCTTCTCCATGCGAGCTTTTTCACGTTTCTGCGAATGTTGAATATTTATGTTCTTACTTTTTTTCAAATAGGGTTTTATATGGCACGATGCAATCAAGCTACGAAAGTATAATTTGTAGAATATATGTAGGTACCTAATCCACCTTACTTTATGAAAACGTATTGTTATAGAAACTATTTGGAGATCCGCCCCTAAGACGACCCCACTGACTGGAGGATGTCAGTGGTTAGGAAGGTTTAATTATTACCTATCTGCCTACCAATGTATTAAAATATGTATAGGTAGGTACCTAAAAGCAGCAATGAAGTTTAAAAATATTGTAGGGTTAATTAGGTACCTCTTGGTCTTTCCGTGCCAGCCATTGCTTGAAGGCTTCCTGCTTTTTCTTTTCATTACGCTCTCGTTCCTCCTTAGCTGTGGTGGTAGTCGAAACAGACGCTACTGATAACCGGAACGTATCGGCTCCATCCTCCCGGTAAGTACGATCAAACCGAGGCGTTTCTTCATCTACATCTAAGCCTTTCAAATTCTCCGAATCTGCCAATCGACACGACTTTCTCTTCACACTACCTGACGACACACTCGAGTCTCGGCCGCTCAGCAGTGGAGTTGAGTTACTCCTGTAACTGCTATGTGGATGCGGCGTCACGTCAGAGATGCACGAGCCTGCCTGCAGGGATGTCACAGAATGCGTCGACTCCACTGGTTCAATATAAATGGCCGGATTTATATAACGTGTCTTACTTTTTCTCGAAGTAACGGATTCTGAATCACTGTGGTATTGAATGTTTTCACCAGCACCATCGAAAACATGATTGGAATTTCTCAATTTCAAATCGAATATGGTTGTATTACGGGCGCTGTCGCCAAAGTTCCTTTTGTCGATGTCGCTCGCCATTGTCTCAAAAACCTTTAACAATTTATTATCATAATTAAATAAATCTATAACAGGAGAGCAAAAATATAGACGATGCAAAAAATCTAAAAATATAATGTTGTAGAAGTAGACTGTCAAAATATCTTACCCCTAAAAGAACGTTACGTCAAAATATGTATGGTTGGTTCTGAAAACGAAACTCGTTTGCCTTTTGTTAATGACCAGTAATGAATTGTTGTAACAACTTTTCTGCAAACAAATTATTTTTATTGGTTATGTAGGTAACATTGTAAGGACAAAATTAAATGTTGAGCAATTTGTAGTAAACCTGCAGAAGCCATCTAGAAACTAACAAAACACCACCAAGGCCGACTCTTTCCCTACTTCTTAAGCTTTGATTGGATAATTTGATGTATCTTTTCCAGAGTAAATACCGTAGGTAAGTACTACTTAGGTACTTAATATCAACGAATATCCATACAAACATGCAGATTACAAGTAGATATTAATGAGTGAATAATCAACAATGTTTAACCATGGTCGCAAATGCAATGTCGTTATAAAAACGAAATATCGACATCGCAAAGTTAAGTATCGCACATCCCTCTTTCTTGTAGGTATTTATTTTTCGATTCACTGTGCCCGGCGCTTGGGGCACGCCAGCTGTTTTGAATAAATGCAGAGTGGGAAACATTCACAATAAACCAGCCTGATATTTTTCAAATACCTATTTACTACACTTCATGTAGTCTACACATAAATACATGTGCATATTTATGTATATAGCAATTTAAGGCTTCTTTTCATGTAGACTGGGGCCGGTCCGCATGAAGTGAACCCTGCAGATACCTAAAGCCATATCCTAGAGAACGCCAGACAGCTTTAAAACGAAGTTTGCCATCGGGTGTCTGGGAATATTTTTTTTTTTTTTGAGATATAGATATTCTATTACTGCCTTATAAATCTTCCTAGTTGACCGTAGGTAATGCGCCTGATTTCAATTGGTCACTCCAGAGTACCTATGGTAGAAGCCTTCTCGTTACTTTGCACTTGCATATGTCATAAGTATATGTCTATTACATAGTAGTATATTATTAGGAGAAAACTAGAGTGGCGCCATAATTGGATATCGATCAAAATTTACTTCGGGGCTGCGCTGAAAATGCAATGTTAAATTTTAGGTTCATTTAACTGTCCTTTGACTTTAACGCAAATAGAAAAAAATAAAACTACGCTATACACATTTATAGAAATGTATTTATTATTATTATCGACATGGGTATATTTAAATTAAAACTGACTGAGCCAATAACTTTACTTTTGGATAAATTTCGACCAGAAATAGGTACCTATTGAATGTTATTATTTGAAAACAGAAATTTTTAGATTCCATTACATATTTGTAAATCATTTGGGCTTGTTTAATGTCATATTAAGTAACAATATTTAGCTTAACTAAAACCTATTTATGAATAGTTTTGGAACAACTGACGAGATAATTATATTGCAGTGTCATAGCAAGCATTGTCAGTATAAATATAAATACTTTGAGGAGTAATTTCAATAATACTTGGGCCTGTTTCACAATGTCCAATTCGATTGCTGTTAATTTTACGAACATTTTAATATGAAAAATATAAATTAATCAGACATTCTGAAACAGGCCCTTAAACTTCTGTCATATTAAAAATTATCATAAAATGTCATAGTCAAGCAATTAATATCACAACAATATTAATTCACAAAAAAGGAAATGGTTTACGACACAGCACTCAGTCTCACATATATATAATACGAGTCTTCTGCCTCTCGACCTTGCTATAAAACTACAATACAATTAATTCAAATACAATTAATCTTTACTCACTAGACAAATTAGCACCTAAAACATAATAATACAGTAGATATAATCACTTGTAACATTTCGCATAAGTATATGGATAACTATTTGAAAATGTTACATTCATCAAGGCATGTAATAACAATTTATAGAAGCATGTGTCGACAACATGTGCCTGCAGTGTGCAAACAAATATTTACATAAATTGCGCCTAGTGAGTAAAAATCAAGACATATTAAGCCAGTTACACAGTATTACTCTTAGATCCACAATGTATTCTTACAATCGCATGTGACTAAAGAGATACTACTTGAGATTTAAATAGTGCCTAGTACAGAGACTCTGCATTCGAGGAACGAGGCTTTTTAATCTTCTCCAAGTTCTTGATGACGATGTCGTGAAGTGAACAGTAACGGTTACGAATTTCGCACATCACAAGCCAAAGGGACAGGTACTCCTTCTCGTCCAGCTCCTGATAAACAAACAAATGTAATTATTGTAATGGATAAGGTTGAATACTTTAATGGTGTAAAACTTTTATTGTTGCAAGCCCTATGTCGAAAGAAGCGTATCAGAAGCGTGTGAAGCGTATCTCTACCATATAATATTTTTTACGAGGAAAAAAACATCTAATGTCCCATTCCGTCCTTCGAACCTTTCGACTTCGAAACTTTCGACCTTCCGTCGGTAGGCAATGTCACTTATAAGCATCAGAGTTAAAACCATGCCATTTCTACTACTGCAGTAGACGCTATAATCTCAGCATTGGGTAGGAATCGTGCTCGATGCCGAGAAGATTATCCAATAACTTCTGTGCCCTGGCTCAGGCAAGGAGTGTCAGGATCTGACTGACTGAAAACCACCCTATTCATTCTTGCTCCGAGACGGGGCACCAGTACATCACTGCACTTGCATTGGTAACTCCAGATAGACGGTTAGTTAGACTTGTGACCCCAACTAGTGTTAAGCCCCGACGTCTATGTACTCGATATCGCGTCACTAGGGTTTCATTACCCTTACATTATTTATACTATAATAATCTTTACCACAATAAACTGTGAATAAAATTGTGTAGAGCTGTAAGACCCAATGTTGATGTGTTATTGTTTTTTATTATTTTTGCGACGTCTTGGCCGAGATACAACTACGCCAACAGTTATTATTTAGTAGCACGTGCCTTGTTGCTTGCCATGCGTGGAGATAATGGCGAATCCGACAATGGACTCTCACGAGTTTTTTTGGTAGACGTGCCGTGCTAAAGACGCTTATCACGATAAGATATTATGCATAATACTGCGCTAAGCAAAATGCATTGTTAATGTGTGTCGTTTCTATCGGAATTTTAAGATTAAGATAAGCTTAAACCTTCGTTAGATATCTACTATTCTATTAGTTTTAATTTTATAATACTAGAAGTGTACATTACAACAATAGAAAGCTTCTTATGCAATCAAGAAAAAATATGAATAAGTTTTGAATTTTCCTGTATGTCAATTGTTCTGATCATAAAATTACGCATGGCTACCCGCTGGCTTGTTACGTCACGCGTTATTTTTATTTTTATAGCTAATGCTACTGGAGTGTGTACATATAACAGGAAATGCAGGTAAATACTCACTCGTACGGCTCTCCTGTAGTCATCAATGTGAGGGTATTTGGCGACCTTAGATACGATCTTCGCTCGCGAAATGAAGTATCGTGAGATTTGGTCAAAGAATGCGGCAGCCTCCGACTCCACAGACTGTATCTCGGCAAGAGTGTCTTCCTGTATTGATACACCGAAGTTGTTGCCGTCTTCAATTTTAGGAATCATGAATGATATCCACATTTTCAGCTGAAACAATGTTAAATGTGCAATGAGAACTTAGCTTAATACTAACTGTACCATACAATAACATTGCCTGCAAAATGAAGTTGTAAACAATATAGATAATTGTCGTATCTCTTGGATTTCTCAATAATGTATATTGGTGACAGCCACCTGCAAAAAGCTTTTGGTCACTAGTCACGATCGGACCTAGACAAAAGCCAAACGTCACCCTCATACTAGGTGGGCGACAAATCTGACGGGACGCAAAGGAACGCAAATGCAACAAAAGAACTCAAAGTGCAACGAAGAAACGTAAAGTGGTAAATATTACACAATATGACGCAACAACAGAAAAGAACAAAACTGAATCATATCTGTGCGCAGGTAACGCTAGAGCTATCTACGGTGTAGGTAGCCCACCTAGTAGGAACAGCAACTGCTTCATTATCGGCGACAGTTCGCGTTATTCCATTCATTACCCACCTAAAACATTGGGTTTGCCAAAAACCACGCACTAGTAAATAAATGAAGAGATAAAACGCATATTTCTCCCTAGAATTAAACTCACCCAATTTGTGAGGAGCGCAGGGAAAGAAACGTCTTATCATTGGATGCAGGCGTCGCGTCATACGGCGTAGTTTCAATTGGCGACTGACGGGGCGACATACGCAGTGTTTGGGCAGATGTCGATCGCGATTGAGTTCCATTAGGCTTAATAGCATATAATCAGAAAGATCTATACACAGGTTTCCAAATACATGTAGGCATTGGTGTTAAACAGTGACATACAAGTAGGTTGCATCTCCAAATATCAATTACCTAATGGTTATCTCATGTGATGGTTTAGTTGAGTTGAAAGTAACATAGGCCACTTTCAAAGCGCAACAAAGTCTAAGTCTAAGTCAACTCATTTGCAGTCATTGAAGATTTCATTATACTTATTTTTTCTAATATTTTATTGGAAATAAATAGAACAAAATAAGAATGTCAAGAGCAAGGCAAGAAATAAGTGGAAAACAGCTCTGCTTAATTCAATATTACAGGTACAATTCTATTTGAATAGCAATCATAAAGAAGTTTTTAATCTAATTAGAAACATTTGAGAGAGGCCTATACACAGCTGTGGACTCCACCAAGCTGTGAGCTGATGATTAGTGCAAGCTGTTTTGATTCGTTCACAAAATGAATCCTCTTGTGGCTTACTTGTGTTCCTTGTCAGTCCTACCATAATGAAGAAATGTTTATTAGGTTCCCAACTGTGCATTAGTAAAACAACTTACCAAATTTGAATCTTCAACCAGTTCCCTAATGTGTGGTTTTACAAGATGAATGAGGTCACTAAGCGGCTTGTTGCATGGTACTGTGCCATTAGGCAGGGCATACACTCGCGTGCCCTCATTGACAGATGAGTTGCTTGAAACCTCTGATGAGTCCACTCGTGGACGTTTGGCATTTGGCTCATTAGATGCTGATGCAGGAGGTGGCACTGGAATGTTTAAGTCCTGAAAACAAGAAAACAAAATAATATTGAGCTCATTGATTTGATTGACTCAAGAACAAATAAATGGCACAAAGTATTGATTTCTATTTCAATGAGGTACCATTAGCCTTGCAACAAGGGAAACCAATTCAAACAGATATTACAAGACTAATCCTTGAACTTAAAAAATATTTTAGTAAGAATGATATTTGCTTATTCAAAATATAAGATGTCAAATTAGACAACAGTACAAAAAACTGTACTATACCTGATGTACATCAGCTAAATCGCGATTCTGGAAATTTGATGTTTCTAGAAGTTCATTCAATTTCACAATTTTCTCTGGAAATCCTTTGATAATTAGATGCTCAGCCTTCTGCTTGAGGGAATCCTTATAATCCTGTACCTGAAAATATCACACGTGCCCTTTAGCAAGCCATCCGACAACAGCCATTATCCGTTGCTAGTTGCTACGCCTATGTACCCCACGGTCGCGCAATCTGTTGAGGTTATGCGCATACAAGCAATACCTACAGCCCCCATTGTTACAATTACACGTTCCGGTATTTATCCAACGTTGACCGTAAGACAGCAGTGAGATTACACAGTAAAACAGTATTATTCAACCGCACTTCTGCAGAAAACTGAGGTCACACACACACTAATCAAAGAACGTTACTCGTGTCAAACAAAGCGATGAACCACGAAAATTAATAATGGCTTTACCTTTTTCGCGACGTCTGTCATTGTGCTAATGTTATTTTTAATGGGACTTTAACTAAAATAAATCCCTTTTAATGGTTCTAATACAAAATACTTTATTTTCCACACAACTTTTTACGCTAACAACTCGTGTATGAATGAATGAAGTAGTTTCGTTGTTGGTCTCGAAGCGTTCATTCGCCGTAGTAAAACGAGTTACTAAACTTAAAAATTACAAGTACATCAATACCGATTTCTTTAATGTTTCGCTTTCCTTTTCAGTCAAATCCATTGTTATCAATTTATTTAGTATATTTTTACTACGTTATGGCAGTGTGACATAATAAACTTTTTAATTTTTCTGAAAGTAATAGTTGTCATATTTAGGCCTAACCTCACATTTTGAAAAAAGTTCAACTGTGGGTTTGCTTCATTTGAATTGCTTTGCAGTCTGTGGTAAAGCCAGTTAGTTATAAGCAAATTAGAGCTTTACGACTGATACTATAAAGTCCAAAATTATTGCGATTACTGTATCGATCATCAGATTTGACAACTAGAATTAGAATTTTGTAAAACTTGTAAACAATAACACGCGGTCTCAACTTTTCCTACCAATTTATGCATAATTGTGTTCATTTAAGTATCATCATTAATTTTTGGCGTACTCTATTAATATTGTTACGGACTTATTTATTATGACTACCTTTAGATTTAATTTTTCTGGTGACGAAGATAATAACAAGTTAGAAGGTTAATTTCTTTTTATTACTTTTAATATTACTAGAGCTGTCATATCTAAAACCTGCCTTTCAGGACCGAGTTCCCAGGATTTTGAAACTTTCACTGCGGTCTTTCAACAATTTTGAACAGATTTCAAAAAAGGACGAAGTTCTCAATTTTACCTGTATGTATGTTTGTACGATCGCGAGTAGCTGAACCGATTTGGATGCAGTTTTCCGAGAAGTATTAGTTACACTTAGTAGCAGGTTTCAGTATGGTAGGCTCTCAGTTCTCCTATGTGTACCTGAATTATAATTCAGACCCCAACCAGTCACTTTCTGGACATTTCAAACAAATCCAGGACAAATGGCAGACCTAATGACTACACAAATAAATTAGTATTACAAACTATGTTAATTATTTATTAAATCAACAGAAAATAAAGAAAATGAATCCATTGTTTGGCTGGAGTGCGAAGAAATTGTCCCGACTAAGCAAATAAACAGTATTGAGGAAAAGGTCACTCATGCTAAAATGTTTGCCTGTGGGGATGTTGAGATTGGGCATATTGTAGTTAGCGAAGCAAAAGCTAGTATTGAGGAAAGTGGATTAAAAAATGCAGTGGAGTTAGCAGAAAAAGAACACAGTGATCTTATTGCTGGGAAATATGAAGGTAAGTTGACAGTTTACAAAACAATTATTGGTCATTTAAAAGTTTCCCACATATTTTCAGTAGTCGTTTGAAACAACAATTTTGGCATAAAGTACTGATATTTTTTTCAGGTGGACTTAAAATCTGGGAATGTACTTATGATCTAATACAATATTTAGAGGAAAATGAAGAGGACATAAAGTTTGAGGAAAAAAGTGTTCTGGATCTCGGCTGTGGTGCAGGAATTTTAGGAATATATGCTTTTTTAAAAGATTCTAAAGTTACATTTCAGGATTATGTGAGTATTTTCATTTTAATATCAGTTTTCTTTTTTATTATATAAGTCATTATGAAGTTCACTTTATATCCCCAATGATTGATATACAATAACATGTTACAGAATAAAGAAGTATTGGAATACTTCACAATACCAAATGTTTTATTAAACATAGAAGATGAAGAGAACAGAGAAAAAGAAATACAGAAATGCAAATTCTATTCCGGCGACTGGGATTCTTTCAACAAAAAACTTCTTAGTTCTGAACTCTTTGATATTATTTTAACATCGGAAACTATTTACAATGAATGTAACTATGACAAACTCATTTCATTGTTTGTGGATAGATTGAGCAAAGATGGAGTAGCATATGTTGGAGCAAAAACATACTACTTTGGTGTAGGGGGTGGTGTAAGACAATTTGAGCAAAAGATTCAACAAAATGGGAAACTAAACTGTGAAGTATGTTGGAAAAGCACAGGAGGAATTCAAAGAGAAATATTAAAAATTACACATAAGTAACCATAACAATAATAGATTTATTTTATTCCATTAAATGATTTCAGCAATAAAATTAATTAAAAAAAACATTCCACCAGTATTGTCTTACAACTAAATATAAAATAGGCTTCTAAGGAGATAATCTTTCATAGACCCAGCCATCTTCTCCTTCATGTAAGAGCTTTCCATCTGGAACCTCTCCCTCTTTGGGCTTCCTAAATTTAATTCTATCATGAAGCCGGTCTCTTTGGCCTTGCCAAAACTCAACAGCTCTTGGACGGATTATGTATCCTCCCCTGGAAATAACAAACAGATTATACATAATATATTGACTATAAATAATGGAAATATTCCTACTTTAAAATCAAAAATAATATTATTAAAACTAACAGTATAAAAACATCATCTTTTTATACAAATCAAAAAAAGCCAACAATGTGACAAACAACTAAAAATAAAGACTTGAAAAAAAAAAACATAAATGAAGGTCATTTGTTTTTATACCAACATGTTGCCAGTATAAGAAGAGCTCTTTGTTATAAGCAATATCACTTACCAAAAGCTTGGTTTTGGGATCTCTTTTTCTGGAATCATATATTCTGCTTCTAAAACAGATTCTCTCTCACACAAGACATCCCTTGATTCAATGGGAGTACTCTGAAAACTTGCACAAGCAGCTATTTGACTGGGCACAGGACGTGAGTGGAAATATTTTGTTGATTCTACTTCATCCAGTTTCTCCACAGTGCCTTCAATTCTGATAGACCTGTTTAAGACTTCCCAATAGAATGTTGCTGCCACATTAGGGTTCTCATCCTGAAATATTACAACAATTAAATTAAAAAAACAGAATGAATCTTGGATATTTTGTAGTACATTTTAGCATTATTTATAGTATACAAACCATTTCTTTAGCTTTTCTGCTTCCATAGTTGCTGAAGAATTTGTAGCCATCCTTTCCATATCCCTTACATAACACAAATCTTGCAGATGGAAAACCTTCTCTGTAAAAAACAATTGGTGATTGTCTAAAAGTGACACAACAACTGACTGATAACAATAGTGGTAAACTATAGTACTTAATGATAAAATAAATATAATATGTTTTTTTCTGATAAAGAGGTACTTACTTAGACACAGTTGCTAAGCACATTGCATTGGGTTCTAGAATCTCCTTCCTAGAACAAGCTTCTTCAAACCATGCCTTGAATTGCCCAAAAGGTTCCTTAGACACCAAATGTTTCTCCAAAAAGGTTTCATTTTTATCCTTATATTTAATTCTCATACCTAGAATAACAAGATATTAAAAGTGGTATGTAAAGTTTTAAATATTATAGATTTTGATTAGTAAAAAATAAATTGAAATTAAATTTGTCTTACCTCCAATATCGATACTCATGTTTCTCAAGTGATTTGATGCTAGTTTACTGCAAGAACACGATAAACTAACCAAGTTTTTTAAACCCATGCAAAAAGTTCAATCACTTTTGGGGTAGGTATAATCAATTTCACAGACTAGCATTGAGTGAACTACTCACTTTTAATTAAATATACAAATAGCCTTGTTACTGATAATGACCGAAATTATACTGTTCAACGATCTCGCGATCCTTACAGCTGATAACAAAACTGATAAGTTATTTATGGACGGTGTGTTACGAGTAATGACTAGTATATTTTACTGATGTACCTACGTCTTTTGCGTTTATCTTATTCAACAAATTCAGATAACAAACCAATATACAACGATTATACGATTGTAAACTGTAATCTGCCGCTGCGTTTTGGGACTTGTTGACGTTAGTATTGTATGTTTCATTTCACTTGACATTGACAATGCAGTGACATTTCGGATTGTTTTCCTACGTCAAAAAGTAAAGTAATATAGAGGGCCCTACGTTCCCCTATCCCGTTGACCCGATAACCAACTCGGGCTGCAACTCGAGTTGACTCGACCCGATCTGCCATAAGATACATCGCGTCTTTCGCCGCGTTGTCCGGGTTGTCCGTTCGAGTCAGTAAACGCTCGACTCGGTGCATCGTTCTGCGGGTTGCTAGTTTGCTTGTCGAGCCCGACGGGCTGTGTGGGGTCGAGTCCATGCTAATGATAGTCAAATAAAATAAGTTTGTCAAAAAATCAGACTTTAATGTTATTGAAAGTTGTAAGATTGGGCCAACAGCTAACGCCAACAGCTTCACTATATTGTATAATGTGTTTTTTTTAGGTGGTTCACCAAGGTACTCGTATTTCCACTAAATTTGTATTGACTAGAACACAAATTGCTTTGTACTTTTGTTATTGTCTATTTTCGAAAAAAACTCCCACGCCACACTTTTCCTGTTTCCCGGAGCCATTATAAACTTATTAATCAGACAAACAACACTTAATAAACTAATAATACCGCAACAAAACAATAAATTACGAACTAAGTAGTAATAACAAAAACGTAAACAAAACAAATATCTAATCTTTTGTGTTAAAACTCTGTCATTTGTTTGCCGAAGACGAGGACTATCTCTTTCACTCGCGGCTCGCGGCTCGGACGACGCGACTACGTTTCGTTGTTCGTGCTGACTCGGGCTCGCTCGGTGTCGTTCGGGCCGGTAGAGCGGCGCGCGGCGGGCTGACAACCTACCCGCCCCGCTTGCCACCGCGCGCGGTTCAACCCGAGTTGCAGAAATATTTACTCGGGCTGACTCGCTCACGGTCTGACTCGAGTTGCCCGAGTTAGATAACTCGAGTTGCCCATCACTACTATCTATGCATGCGGTGGACTTAAAGTTAAAACGTAGTGCTTATAATATTCTCTTTGGTGGAGGTTGTTGTAGATAGGGGTATAGGTCCATCTGAAGATTTAGATACAGGCTTAAGATAATTATACAGGGTAGATTGATCTATCTACCCTCCACAACCTGCACTGCCGATAAATTACATGATGTAAGTACTTTATTAGAAATGTGCTTTTAATACAGTATAAATTCATAAATTCCAAAACAAAATGAAACTCGGTTTCGATGCCACGTTATGTCGCTAAGCTAAAGCAAAAAATTTCATTCGCTGCTTTTTTTATGTTCGCTAAAAGGTCGGCAAACGAGCAGACAGATTACCTGAATCAGCGCCGCCCATGTACCCTCGCAACGGAGGAGTTACGAGTGCGTTGCCGACCTTTTAGCGATTAGGGATTGGGGAGGGGAAGGATTGGGCCTCCGGTAACTTCACTCTCACGGCGAAATACAACGCTTTGGTTATTTCACGCCGGTTTTCTGTGAGGCCGTGGTATCACTCCGGTCGAGCCGACAGCCGACCCATTCGTGCCGAAGCATGGCTCTCCCACACTGCTTGACAATAATTTGTAAAAAAATTCACTAAAAGATTAAAATATTTGTACATATATTGTGATTACGATGTTTCGATATTATCCAAATGACTAAACATTCATAGAGTAAGTAAATCTAAACATTGACAACACGATTGACATTTGACTTAATTTGACGTCTCTGTCTCTATTTTTCAAAAGTTGTGTGTTGGAGTCTTGTTGGACATTATTTTTATGTCGAAATCTTACATTTAAATTTTTACAGAATATTTATACATTTAATTAAAAAAGTTAACAATGGAGTCCGAAGTTATAAAGGAAAAGATTCATACAGAACCTATGTTGAATGATCCTCGCTATATAACCTTACTGAGTGTAATTGTCCTACTTTTTACCCTGGGTAAGTTACTTAGTACCTAGAATTTAACATATTGCTTATAAGTTTTACTGGCATTTATATCGAATATAATCTCTCTCTCACAGAATCTTGTTATTTTGCACACTTTTAATAATTCTAATAAACAAAATGTGTGCCAACATTGCAAGACAGACAACAGCATGGAACATTAATATTCAGTGTTTTATTATTGATGTTAATCTTTCTTATTTTTTATTGTGTTTCATTTACTATGCAGTGATAATTATTAGGGTACCCACCTACTTACTTAGTTCTAAATATATTGAATAAAAAAAGATTATATATACCAATTAAGTATATACATAATTGGTTTTGGTTTTCAGTGTTTTGGTGGTTTTTCTCAAGGAGGCGTCAAGTTCGTAAATCTGTACTATTAATGGGTCTCTCAGACTCTGGCAAAACCCTATTGTTTGTGAGACTTGCATACTCCCAGTACAGACAGACTTTTACATCTATGAAAGAGAATATTGAAGAATATATTACTTCTAATGTAAGTATCATGAAGCATTGAAACCAGTTTTTATTCTATGTTAAGTAGTATTATTCCAGCTTACCTTCATGTTAAATTTTTTAAACTCAAACATACATATTACATTGTTATAATTTAACTTAAATGAGATATATGAAAAAATTTCAGGATGCCTTAAAAATAGTGGACTTGCCCGGCCAAGAGAGGTTAAGGAACAAATTCTTTGATCAGTACAAGAATAGTGCCAAGTCTATTGTTTATGTTGTTGACTCTGTCACCATCCAGAAGGAGATCCGGGATGTTGCTGAGTAAGTATGTTGTTAAGATGTTAATGCGAACTTGACATAAGGTGTTTAAGTACCTATACCTAAATAAATCTAATAAAGCCCTTATATGGAATGACATAAAGACCAATTTATTCTCAAATGATTGTGAATGTCCTATATCATTTATTCTGCCTTTTGAATGCATATCATGTCATTTTTAAAGAATAAAGTAATGTCATTAAAATGGTTTTGTCCTTGTCAGAAAAAGGACCATGTATAAATAATAAAAATAAAACTCTAATGTGTAAAATTCCCATCTAATCAAAACAGATAAGGCGCGCTAATAATAAATATCATAAGTTTGTGTTACTTTGACGCACTTATCCAATGAAAAACTAATATACTTTTGTTTCAGGGTTATTATGGGTTTAAGGAGTTATTTGCGTAGTCTATTGTGATATTTGTAAAATAAGTTATATTAAAACTCATTTGATCTATAGCGAAAGAAACTAGTAAAATTATTTTTTTCTGATTTGCCCAATATATTTTATGGTTTCAGGTATTTATACACAATTCTGTCTGATCCAGTGGTACAGAGCTATAGTACTCCAGTTCTGATCTTGTGCAACAAACAAGACCAACCCCTAGCTAAGGGTGCTCAAGTGATCAAGAGTCTGTTGGAGAAGGAAATGTAAGTAAACTAAAACCTCCTTATTACAAAACAAGATTTATCTTTAGTCTAGGTTTAAACCATTGAGTCAGTTTTTGAATTTTGAATCTTATTCTCACCTACCTTCAATTCGAAATACAAAAACTGACTCAGACTAAACAAAAACCTTGTTTTATAATATGACCAAAAATGTTTAAATTTTATTTTATTGAAATTTAGCTTTTAAATAATTAAGAGTTTATTATTTCTCATACTTTGATGCTCCCTACACAATACTATCATACAAGTATGTATTATGAGTGATCAGATGAAGGTATAAATTTTAACAAAATTGAACGAATAAGCTGTAAAGAGGTCCAAATGAATAAAAAAAATTCACATTTATTTTGCTTTTGAAACTAAGTTAATTTATATGGTAACAAAAGTAACAAATACAGATATACATTCTAATTGCTGCTAATACAAACTAAGCACAGCTTATACCATGCAGCTCTAAATATTTGTGGTTATCAGAATTAAATTCTAATTATTTAATCAAACCCCAAGCGAATGCCGGCGTTCGCACCTATTTTTCTTCTATTATATCTCGAAATAACACGATTAAAAGGTTTAAAACTTATCTGGTTGTGAAAATTACTCCATTTTTATACAAATCAATAGAAAATAAATATAAATTCAGCTTTCAATGATCCAACACTAAATCCAATAGTACTACTACTGTAACTGAATTATAAAAGTCCCTGGTTTTCTTTTTGGCATTTGTAACGAACATTTGAAAATTTTACCTACTTTCAGAAATCTAGTCCGTGTCACAAAGTCCAGCCAACTGCAATCTGTAGATCCATCTCAAGGCAACAACTCGACATACCTCGGCAAAATAGGCAAGGACTTTGAGTTCTCACATCTTAGTAACCGGGTGGAAATCGCTGAGAGCTCAGCTAACACTGGTGACGACGATACGCCGGCCGATATCAAAAGTCTTCAAGATTGGATCTCCAAACTTTAGTTACTTAAACATTTCCTTATTTTGTCATTTTTTTTATTCAAGTTGTGAGTTTTCAAACAACTCTATGACTAATGTAAAAATCGTGTGAATAGTAGGCCTTATTCGAATTTCAGATTAAATAATCAATAAACATTGTAATGTTATAAATGCTGTTGGCTATTGAAAAAAAGTCATACTTCAATTAAAATTGGCGGGAATTAATTAAAGGTACATTGAAAAGTCTTGGATATTTGTTATAAATAATACTTTATTATTCCAAATTAAATTGAGTATTATTGATGTCAATCTAAAATTTTCTTTTTATCTAATTTTGTTAAAAGTATTCATGTGTGATGTTCTCTGTATTGAAACATAATAATTGTATTGCATTTATTTCAACAAGAGTGTTATAAGTGATTGAATAATAAAAACCTATACAGGGGTGTCCTATGTATTCTCAAAGAATTCATGTGCATTTTATGATGTATGTCCATATTTTGTTATTGTCAAGGATTTTTATTAATAAAGCTTGACTGACTTTTGTAAACTATTTTTTATTTTTTTAAATCCCTTAACTTTATCGAATTTATAAAGTATTTGGGGTAAATAGTTCGCATAGTGGCTAGGCACCCTATTCTGTGCAACGTGTCTCGGGTTCGTTTCCCGCAACGAACATCACTTTGTGTGATCTATAAATTGTATGTCTAAGGTCTGGGTGTTTTGATAAAATTAAGTTTGTGTCATCTGTGCGTTACCCACGACACAGGACAAAATCCTAGTGAGGACAACGTTTTTTTAGAATACAATCACATGCACTTGATCATACATACGGGTTTACACATAGGTACTATGTGGGTATACACTGCAACATCTACTAATCCAAGGTATCCAAATCCTGGTACAGTAAAGAATAAGGACCTGCGAGACGTCATTGCCGAAAAAAACTCACAGAAAGTTTATGTAAAATTATGCTAATGCCAGCTCCACACTACTTTTGCGCATCTGCAGTCGGCGAGCAAGGTTAGTTCGCCGCCCGAGCAGAACCAGACCCGAAAGGTATGTAGCGTTTCGCGCCTACCTCAGAGCCAATAAACCACCTCAGCTAGGGCCCAACAAGGCTGATGTTAGGCGAGAAAGAACTGAGAGGTTTTTAGTGAGAGTCCGAGTAAACTGACACTTCCTCTCGCCGTACCTTGGGCGAGAGGTCATTTGATAAATTCCCTCCACAAAAAGAAAAACAAAAAAAGCACACCACGTCTGTGGCAGTGATCTGGTAATATTAATATCAACCCATCTAACTTATCTAACCATTGATGCATTGTATCGTTTTTTACTTTTATTGAGAACCATGCAGGTGTTGTGCGAATCTACCCCTTCCTTCCTATTCTTTTTGTCACACAACGATTAATGAACGCCACATGACTCGACTAAAATTCAAGATCAAAACCAATATTGATTACGTACCTACCTATATTAATTGTTATTTTTGCATATTCATGAATTTAAAATTAAATCTATTGATAGGAATCAATGGCTTTGTTCTTTTAAAAATGTATTAAAAAGGGGTGGTGCACTCTATGCATTTTTTGCACGGTAACTTTAAAATCATTGTTCGTTTGGTCCTTTTTGAAAATCGATTATTCGATATGCATATTCATAATTTTGTCATCAATAAGTTGGTATTGAATAGATTGACGTTTTAGCACGTGCGTTGAATTATCTATGCAATTACTCACTCTCGACTGCTAATGTAGGGGTCTTCTTAATACGTAGGTAGGTAACAAATATGTGATTCTAATACTCTGAGAGATCATCATCATCATCAGCCTATAAGTGCCCACTGCTGAGCAAAGGCCTCTTCTCACGAGGAGAAGGTTTGAGCATTAATCACCACGCTTGCTCAATGCGGGTTGGCGATTTCAAACTTATAATTAGAAATTATAAGTCCAGGTTTCCTCACGATGTTTACCTTCACCGTATGTCAGTGGTGTCTAAATAATCATAGAAAGTACGTATAACTCGGAAAAAGTCACATTGGTACTTGCCAGTTGCTAGGTTTCGAACCCACACCCTCATGCTTGAGAAGCGGGCGCCGTAACCTCGGGACCATGGTCCTGATGTTATAGGTTTTTAAAGACTGACTGCATTATTCGCTTATCTTCGCTAGTGTAGCCCACTTGTTGTCACTCATGGCTTCCATTCCAATATGTCGAAAACTGTTGCGTTTTTTTTAACATGATAGGAAAGAAACGATCTTGTGGATTATCTAATGTTAACCAATCGCCGCCGCCTATGGACAGTCACAACTGCATTGGAGTTACGATTCGGAGATTTAGGAATTATAGGAGGGGTAGAAGGATTGGGCTTTCGGGTACCTAACTCACACGTTTGTTTCCCGCCGGTTTTTGCGAGGCCGTTGTACGGTGTAAGTACCACTAAAACACGTGATTTTTCATCTGTATTTTTTTTATTTAGTTTACAGAAGCTTATTGACAACGTAATAACTAGATAACGTGTCTACAGTAGGTAAATAATGACACTGCGAAATTCGCGGTGTCTACCTAGGTATATAAGTTCATAGTAATGGTGCAACATAGGATGCTTTCTAAGATAACTTCGGTTTGTGAACTATTTCGTAGGATGTGTCTAAGACATATCCTACGAAATAGTTCAGTGCAATCAATCGAACCATTTGCAACGTTCACTAAGAAACAAACACTATGTCTCCATTCTAGCGACAACAAGTGATAGCGCCAGCAACCGTGGCCAGCAATGATGTTCCGCCGTTTCCTTTGAACCGCCTCTGTGCGAAATTTGTAGACCTCATTTTAGGGGTTCCATACCTATTTTGTTGAGGGGAAAATCATCAAATGTCTTCTCCCGCCCAGAATGGGGCGGGAGGGAGTGTCAGACTTTTGCTGACTAAAACCCCCCTCGTTCCTTCTCCAGCTCTGGGCCAAGGTCGTGTTGCCTAATTGCGCTTACCCCACAACCCGGCTTGGTTCCAGACCTGAGAAACATATTCCAGGTGAATTGAACCTTGAACCGTTGTTTGTTACCATGATAGAAGCACATGTTAAATTAGGTAAGTAGGTACCGTAATCACTTAGTTGCTCTAATAAATATTTTATTTAATTCACTTTTAAGTTTTGAGTAGGTAGGTAGGTAAGTAAGGAGTTCACCGAAGTAAGTAGATGCCTACCATCTATAAAAATATTTGCAGAGGCACGCAAAAAGTTTCCTAATGAATAAAACCTTTGAGTTCAAAATGTCCACTTAAAACTGGTCCGTAGATGATTACGTACTACCTACATATTACATTACTCAAGTAAGGCATTGCCTCAACAATGTTGTCTCATTAATGACAACACAAACAATTTCCAGCTTAGTGAAAAAGTCAAAAAATATTGATCAAAGTAAAATGCGCCGGCGTCGTTAAAGACAGTGGCTGCCTGTAGTGCCTGTCATAGCGCGTTCCTACCTTATAATGGACGCCATTTCTCGAATGAATGATAATTTTACCTTGCGCTCGGTAAATAGTGTGTTCACTAAAGGGGAGCCTTTTTAACGTCATAAAGGACTAGACAAGGACCATTAAGATTATTTTAATGACTATACTTGGTTGACAAATGAGATCGTGGAAGTTGTTCGGTGTTCGTGGATTCGAGTTCTGGAAAATCGTGATTAGAAAGCAATTATATGACGAGAAAATAGTTTCTAAGTATTCGTTTAAGTTTAAAATAAAAATATAATTAAATAAGTATCTATGATAATGTGCGCAAGGCTCAAAATGACCACGTAAGTAACGTAGGTATTAGGGACTTGATGGGGACTTTATTTTTACTTCAAGACGAAGAACCTCGTCTAAATAGATACCTAGCTACTAGAATCGGTTTGGTATGCGACAGAACCTCTTTTTTTCCGTGGGTTGTCACACAAGTACTTATGAAATTGTTGACATGGAACAAAAATAAGTTAGGTAGGCCTCAAGTCTTGATTTTTGCAGAAAAATGTGGGTGGTGGTTATCAAGCTAAATTAAAGACAAATATCTAAACCTTTGTAAGTTGTACCTAACACTGACCTTTCAGATTTTGGAAAACATAAATACCTAAGTACTTAAATCGTTATTATTCATAGCGTATCTGTTCACAGTATAGTGAGCGATAAATTACCGTTGAATTAACGTTATGCCGTCATTACTAAGTAATTGCCGGTGCATATTCACTTTACGAAAAAGTGAGTGGGGGCTGCTATTAAATTAAATTATGATTATACTCATCAGACAAAATGAAGATGCTTTAAAAAGTGCACGTACTTATTTTTGGTATTAAAAGTGCCCAGTGAATGTGTAAATCGTTAAATTTCGCATCAAAATGCCCCGCCGTTAACTATACATACTTTGGATGGAATTGATGGCTGATCCTTTATCGAGAAACCCCATGATGCCCTGATGACTTCTTTAAATATTGTGCTTAAAATAAAAAATGGCATCAAATAAACGTGCGTATCGCGGTAGACTGGAATTACCATCAGAGTTATGAGCTATTAAGTATGTAGGTACCTATCTATATACATATACTAATAAGCACTACTTAATAGGCAGTGTAGGTAAGACAGAGAAGAAATAGGTACCTACCTACCTAGATAATGTAGGTACTGTTGATATTTAATTGTAAAAACTTTTTATCCGACGGATTTGACAAATTGCTCTTATTGAAATTATACCTTATACTAATTGAATCAATTACTTGTACAGATTCTTCAGTTAAAATTTTTGCTATTATTTAGCTGATATTTGTTGGAAGGAAATACTCACTAATGACTATGGGACAAGCCTTCCGCAACCTTCCAAAACCGCTGCAACTCCTGTATATAGTGGATACAACCATGAAAACAGTGAAGTCTTGCGCGCCCCAAGAACATGAATGCCTGTCTTGGATCCCGCAACGAAATAAATCAAAAGACTCACGTATGTCTATTTAACTCTTGTAAAAGTTGCACATTCAGACGTATAGTCACAAGTTCCCACGGTAAAAGGCTTGTGGGTGAGCGTACTAAGCGTCCCACGGTCACACGGGCCTGCCCACTTGTCCTGCCTTTCTTCAATATCCTACAAATCACGGAGTACAATAACTTTAGACTTATT